TTATCTATAACAATTCCGGTCTTGAATATACTTGTAAAAACTTAAATGACACAATGCAATGTCATCTTAGTTTCACAATTATATGCCTTGATGGGATCAACATTATAAGCCATGACCGCTCCACTTGCCATGATAGTCAAAACTCCAAAACAACATAAACATTGAAAACTGCCATTACGACTCAAGGAGTTATTGTTGTCTCTCGTTTTTGTTGGCAGAATACTTTGGTACTACTGCAAGAATTAATTTGCCTGAAAAATGCTTATTTATAGGATAACCACGAGGGAGGAGAGAGTAAAACGTACTCAAAAATATTTTAATGAGATTTCAAGTACAATAGCATTAAGTTTTTAAATTTATGAATTAATTTGCTAAATTTTAGACCACAAACGTTTCTTTATTTATGACATTAAAGCAGCAAATATGAAAGTGCGATGGTTAGGTTTCCATGTTATTATTAAAAAATTTCTATTAAAATGAGAGGTTATCATTAACAAAATAATAGTATTTACTAGTTCCATTAAAATTATGTAGATTAGATCCATAATCTAATTTTTATTAGGCTATGTTATCTTTGTCTATTTGCTCGTTCTCCTTATAAAAAGTCTTTTTTTTTTCTCAATTTAATGCATTCATTAGAATTCTTAAGACACAAATATAATTGAGAATTTATGCCCATTAGTACTTGATCAGGTGAAATACTTATAAATGCTATGGAAACTGAAATGTCTTTTAACATTTGGAATAATCTTAAGTTGCTTCCACTTTTATATGTAGAATTTGAAGAGATTCTTTTCTAGGTTGAGAACTTTCAATGAAGTCCCAACGTTTTGCTTGAAAAAGAAGATAGTAATGCTTTCGACAATAATTCTAAAATCTATAACACATCACAAATATAGAAAACAAAAAGAGACGTGTGTGTACCTGATCAGATAAAATATTTATAAATGCTATTGAAGTTGAAATGAATGCTATTGAGATTGAAATGTCTTTAAAATTTGAAACAATTTCATGTTGCTTCCACTTTTAGACACAGAATTTTGAGAGATTCTGTTCTAGATTGAGAACTTTCGATGAAGTCTTTGCTTGAAAAAGAAGATAGTAAAGGTTTCAACAATAACTCCAAAATCTATAACACATCATGGATGGGTGGCCAAATAAAATTGCAGAAAAAAAAATTCATTGGTGCCTTTACAAGCTGGGGTGGGTCTATCCTATCCTCCATGGATAAGCAGTAATTTTTTTCCCCCAGGATATGTTAATAAATTACAACCAGTTTTAATTTTATTCTTTTTGTTTGTTAGGATATATATATATATATATATCCCCCCCCAGAAAAACACCAATTGATAGTATTATCTTATATTATGAGTTCAAATGGCTTGACAAATGCAACTTCTACTTCAGCAATGTAGAAGGTAAAAATGGAAAATATTTCTTTTATATTTTTTTGCATAGTTTTTTTACTCTTTTACTAGTCTTTTGGTTTGCAGACATAAATTTTTACCTACATATGCTGTGAAAGAATAAAAACAATGAAATAAAGTTATGTGCATTACAAAGGTATTCTACCAACTATCAAAACAAGAGAAGTTCGTATTCTTTGGGTGTAATGGCAATAATACCAAAAAAACACCCCAATCAAAACTATACACAACACAAACTCGTTTGTGATATAATTGCCCTTATAAAAAAAATCAGTATATATGAAACACTTCTGAAACAACCCCAAAAATAAAAAAGGCACCATATGAGGCATTATAAGCATACAGTAACACCTCAACACAGCCAAAAAGCACAGGAGAAAGAAGCTGCAAGACAAAGGCATTACAATTTTAACATTTTGTTATTATTTATTAAAACATTTTGTTATGTAACATTAATGTCTCCACTCTTTGAAGATTTCTCATTCCAAATCCTGAAAAACCCAACAAATGCATAGGAATCAAAAGTTTAGGACCAGGATTTCTTTAATACCATGAGATACACTGCAAATGACAAAGGTAGTATTTTTTTAATGTTTATTGATAAAACTTCATTTTCGATCTTCTTAATAAGGAGAAAGAGAAGACGAAACATCTTTGTTAACTAAAGTACACTTATTCCATACTTGTGCACTCTTTAATAAGATCTCTGATGTATCATTATTTTTGAATAGAGGATTCTGAAGAGTTTTCTGGATGAATGCATCATGACAAAATTGACCAAGTCCTATAAGCTCAATGCAACAATTATCTGTAACAATTCCGGTCTTGAATATACTTGCGAAAACTTCAATGACACAATGCAATGTCATCTTAGTTTCACAATTATATGCCTTGATGGGATCAACATTATAAGCCATCACCGCTCCACTTGCCATTATAGTCAAAACTCCAAAAACCACATAAACATTGAAACTTGCCATCACGACTCAAGGAGTAATTGTTGTCTCTCGTTTTGGTTGGCAGGATACTTTGGTATTGCTACAAGAATTAGTTTACCTAGAAAATGTTTATTTATAAGATAACCACAAGGGAGGAGAGAGTAAGATGTATTCAAAAATGTTTTAATGGGATTTCAGGTTTAAAAGCATTAAGTTTTTCAGTTTATGAATTAATTTGCTAAATTTTAAACCATGAGCGTTTCTTTATTTGTGACATTAAAGCAACAAAGATGAAAGCACGGTGGTTAGGTTTCCATGTTATTATTACAAAATTTCTATTAAAACAAGAGGTTATCATTAACATAATAATTAATTAGTTATTTATCTATTTTTTTTTTGGACACATACAATGTTGGATTATATAACAAGAGATGGTCACCTTTCGTTTTATAAATCTTTTTCCTTTTTCAATCTTCAATCTCAAGATTAGCCTTTTTCAATTTTTGAGTTCAAGATTTTCAATTTAAAATTTTAAGTTCTTAACAAGTTGAAAAATTGTAGAAAAATGATATTTAGAAAAAAGAAATGATATTCAAGTACAATTTCAAACGAGGCTGAAAGCTGATTTTGTCTAGGGTGGGTTCCTTGCACTTCGTAAAAAGAGGATTCTAGCAGGATTTGCATGGAGTGGTTATATTTGGATCAAATTCTGTTTCCCAATGGAATGCTACAAATTTAAATAACCTCATTTAGTGGATGAAATAATTAATGGCTTACAAAAAGAAGTACAATTCCAAGACAATTCATTAGAGCACATTGCAAGCAATCAGGCAGCAATTACATGATAATATTCAACATTTAAATCCCCAAATCCTATCTAAACTTACATCATCTTAAAAATCGTAAATGTTAATTTCTTGCATTATCAAAGCAACTTAAGTTTAGGAAATCACATTAGGAAAATCCTATCTTTTCTTCGTCTATTTTCTTATTCTCCATCTTTTGAATTCTTCTTTATTCCTTAATTTGCTAACAAATTGTCACAAAATTTTTGTTCACAATAGTATTTACTAGTTCAATAAAAATTGTGTATATTATTTTTGTTAACAATAGTATTTACTAGTTCAATTAAAATTGTTCATAATAGTATTTACTAGTTCCATTAAAATTGTGTAGATTAGATCCATAATCTAATTTTTATTAGGCTATGTTTTCTTCGTCTATTTGCTCATTCTCCATATAGAAAAGTCTCTTTTTCTCTTCTTAATTTAATGTATTCATTAGAATTCTTAAGAAACAAATATAATTGAGAGTTTATGCCCATTAGTACTTGATTAGGTGAAATACTTATTATTTGTGTACAATTTGGGATTATTCAGTTGATCAACATGATAAGATTCGTCGTGCTTATATTAAATCAGGACCATATCAGCCTCCTTTTACTAAATATCCAACTTCTGGTGGACCACATCCTCATCGTTTTCAAGCTTCTTTGTTTAAGAAGTTTTTCAAAATGGCTGGAATATTCACCTAAATTAGATGCAGCTTTTTGTTTAGCTTGTTACTTGTTTAGTGATGGTCCTTGAAATGATGGGAAAGATGCATTTACAGTTCAGGGATTTCGATCTTGGAAGAAAGTAAATGATGGAGTTAGTTGTGCATTTCTTTGCCATGTTGGAACAACTCCCAATTCACCACATAATATTTGTGTACAATGTTGCGATGCTTTGATGGATCAATCCCAACATATAGAGAATGTCTTTCATAGGCAAAATTCTCAAGCTATCGCAAACAACCCTTTTGAGACTAAAGGCTTCTGTTGAAGCAGTCCAATGGCTCACTTTCCAAGCATGTGCATTCAGAGGTAATATGAAAGCATCGGCTTATTGGATCCAAGAGATGGTTATAGGTTATTCAATGTTGATCATATTTCTGACTTGGCAGCAAGATTTCATCCTAGTGATTTCACTGAACGAGAAAGGTTGCATCTCAAAATACAAGCACAGCATTATGAGCTTGATGTTCCTCAACATCCTGATTTCAAAAACTTGTCAACAATCTCCAAGTTATGCCGAGGACTGAAGAAAACAAGAAAATCTTATACTTATTATTTGATTGATCGTTTGCTTTGCCTATTATTGACTTTTTCAATTTTAATTGCCACAAGTGAGAAGCCATTTTTAATTATGAATATTATAAAAAATAAACTTAAAAATAAGATGAAAGATGATGTTCTTGCTGATTGAATGATTACTTATATCGAAAGAAAGATTGTCGAAAAGTTTGACACAAACTCAATTATTGATGAGTGTTATAACATTAAAGAATGTCTTGCTCAAGTTCAATAAATTACAAAAAATATGTTACATATATAGACCTTTTAGCCTAAACTTTTTATATACATGAACATGTTAGCTTTTTCTAATTTTGTCCCTCAGTAATTTAATCCTAGATCCATCTCTGGGCACAAGAAAAAGAGCCAGCAAGACAAATGCATTATAGTTTTAACATTTTGTTATTATTTATTAAAACATTTTAATGTAACATTAATGTTTATCGTATGTTACCCTATATTCAATCGTAAAATACTTATCTATAATTTATTTATAGGGCAGAACTTTCGGACACAAGAACTCACGTTAATTTGCTGGCCCATTCCATTCTATCAACTTTATTTGGTCAATCAATTTCAGCACCAAGACTGAACCCTAAGCCTTTGCTTCAATGGCAGCAGGAACCTTTCTCGCAATCTTAAACAGCAACAAAAAGACAAACGCTTTAACAGCAAATGTAATCTTGGCAAGAACAAAATCATATTGTTTCACACCAAATACAGTGAAAAGCAACAACCTTTATTCAAGAATCAATGCGGTAGGAGACCCAAGATGCGGCGTAGATCCGGTTCTTCAACAGTGGGTTCAAGAAGGGAGACATGTCAATGAATTGCAGCTGCAGCGTATCATTCGTGACCTTCGTGCTCGTAGGCGTTATAGTCATGCCTTGGAGGTAAAGGGAGTTGATTAATTTGAGTCACTGAATGAGATTTTTCTGTTGCATAGCTGATGTTTTGGTTGGAAAATGGGGGTTGATTGCAAATATAATGAAAAGGAAGGAAAAGAAAATGTGGGTATTTTGTTTTCCGCTGTTTTATCGTTGAAAAATTTGAATTGAGGTCAATTAAGCTTGTTTTTAGTTGTTGAGAATAGTTAGGAAAAGAAAATGTTTTGTTTTTGTTCTTAATGGACAAGTGATTAAGTTTAGTGAGGTTTCGTTAAGTTGGGGTTTTAAGACAGAGTAGATTAAAACTCATGATTATAGTGTTGGCATTTTCTTAGGAAACCTTAATTGATAGGAATTGATCTGAACATTTACTAAGGGCTACAACTTGCTTTGGACTGCAATGGAGAAGTGGAATGGGAATTTATTGAAGCTGTTCTTAAGCTGTAAGCAGCAGATAATTAAAGAAGAAGAAAGAAAGAAAGAAATAACCAATGACACTATCTAAATCCTCAAACTAATCAGTGACTCCAACTCTGATTTAAATCAACGTCAATACTTGTAAGTTGCTAGCTTCTGTAATCCCTCTAGCTTTGGGAGTTGGCCCTACCGTCATAATAAGGAAAGTACTGAAAGTTATAACTTCAGCACCGAGATTTAGAAAAAACTAGTTAGGTCTTTAGCTGTAGATGTGCAAATGTGTTTATGTTTATATGCTGCAAATGTCTTTCTTTTGTTCTTGCAACTATTGATTCCCATACATGGATGCAGTAAACTAGAAAGTCCTCTGTCCTATTACCAAATGGTCTGCCTGTAGTTTAAAGTTTGTATGTTTCTTGTATGCTTATGTTGGGTTCTTGGCAGAGCAGGTTTGCAAATGGATGAGTAACAGTGACCTTGAATTTTCATCAAGTGACTGTGCAGTGCAGTTGGATCTAATTGGTAGAGTTCATGGGCTTATGTCGGCAAAGAGCTTCTTTAGTAGCATGACAGACCAAGAAAAAACTGTCAAGACTTATGGTGCTCTTTTAAATTGCTATGTTCGAGAAGGCCTTCTTGATGAGTCCCTTTCCCTTATGAAGAAGATGAGGGAGATGGGTTTTCTTTCCTCTCCTCTCAACTACAATGACCTAATGTGCCTTTACACAAACACAGGTCAGCTTGAAAAAGTCCCTGATGTATTGTTAGAGATGAAGAGGAATGGTGTCTCCCCTGACAAGTTCAGCTACAGAATTTGCATCAATTCTTATGGGGCAAGAGCTGATATTAACAGCATGGAGAAAGTTATACAAGAAATGAAAAGCCATCGGCACATCAAAATGGATTGGGTTACTTATTCTACAGTGGCAAACCACTACATAAAAGCAGGTCTTAAAGAGAAGGCACTTTATTATGTGAAGAAATGTGAGAAGAACGTAGGTAAAGATGCAGTAGGCTACAACCACTTGATTTCATTCTATGCTAGTTTGGGAAACAAAGATGAAATGAAAAGGTTGTGGGATCTTCAAAAGGCCAAATGTAGGAAGCAAATCAACAGAGACTACATAACAATGCTGGGTTCGTTGGTGAAGCTTGGTGAGCTTGAAGAAACTGAAAAGTTGCTTGAGGAGTGGGAGTTTTCTTGCAAGACTTTTGATTTCCGAGTGCCAAATATACTTCTTATTGGGTATTGTCAGAAAGGTTTAATTGGAAAGGCCGAAGCAAAGCTACAGGATATAATCAAGAGAAAGAAGACTGCAACTCCAAACAGTTGGTCCATTATTGCGGCAGGATATTTGAATAAGAACAATATGGAGAAGGCTTTTGAGTGCTTTAAGGAAGCTCTTGCTGTACAGGCACAAAATAGGGACTGGAGGCCAAAAGCAAGTTTGATTTCTAGCATATTGAGTTGGCTAGGTGAGAATGGAGAAGTTGAAGATGCAGAAGCTTTTGTGAAATTATTGATAGCAAAGGTTCCACCTAAGAGCGAAATGTACCATGCCCTCTTGAAGGCATACATCAGAAACGGCAAAGAAGTAGAGGGGCTTTTGGAGTGCATGAAGGATTACAAAATAGATGTAGATGAGGAAACAATGAAGATCCTTAGCCTTCGACAGCAAAACTCTTAAAACGGTTTTTAATATGCAGCATCCACTATACTGGCACATTAAGCCACCCTTAAGTCACTGGGGGAGTTGCAATTAGAGGCACTTGAAGTATTGGTTGTGGATGGTACGGAATCTTTTAGCTCTCAAGACCTGAACTTGCTACATTGTAAGTTTTGGAAAGATCATTTTACCCTTCCGCAGGGAGCAAGTTTGGCTTATTTGTTCTTGCCAACAGGTAGGGGGTGGGGGGAGGGAAGACAGATTAGGACATGTATAGGATCAAATATTCTCTATTTTCTGGTTTAATGATCCAGTTTCACTGTGAAGGCAATATATCCAAAATATATTCCAAGGATCTAGTATGCAAACACTAAGTATCCTAATGTTATAGTTACATTTCGATTAAGTGATTTCAGGCGCTGTCCAGTTTCATTACTATGTTCATTCACCTTATATTTGTGCTATGTTTGATATGAGCAGCTGCACTTGATGAGCATCCATTGTACAAGACGGTCATGGAGTTGCATGACAATGAAGAAGCACAACGATGAATTTAAGAAACATCATGAGACAAGCTGAAAACCGATCAAGTTGCCGTGTACGATTCCTCATTATAAAAACATATAACCATTTTTTAGCTGGATCGAGATAAACTAACAAAGGCGATGCATCAACGAGCCTAAAGCTCCTGGAGCAGCTACCAAACTGTTCGCTACTGGATGCTAACACAAGCAACTGCCATGGAACAATTCAAGAATAAAATGAAAAAACAAATCAAAATCATGGCTGTTGATAATTGCCTTTGACTAAAATGGTACTAGTCAAGCCCACTTGAAGGATTCAAAAGTGGGTTGCATCAGCCTAGCCCAACCCATTCTCAATTTCCATTTTGTGTTCCCTGCAACCGAACACACCCCCAACACCTTTCCCCTTCTGGAGGCCTCGACACGGTCGACCCCAAAGTACCAAAGCCCTCATCCTCTTCCCTCCCCTAACCTCAAAAACTCAAAAAACCCGAAAGCATGGGCAAAGCTCGAGACGGTTCTCTCCCAGAGAACTCCGACGAAGAAACAGAAACGCCATCTAATCCGAAATCGACATCCGAACCTGAACCCGAAAAGACGAAGCCCAAAGACCACCGCAAAAGCGACCGAGGGAAAAAACCAAGCAAATCACGAAAACGATACAGCAGCAGTAGCAGTGAAGACGAGGACTCGTATTCGGATTCTGAGTCCGAATCCGAGTCGGAGTATTCGGATTCGGAATCAGAGTATTCGGATTCGGAGGAGGAGAGGAGGAGGAGGAAGAGGAAGAGGAGAGAGAGGGAAGAGAGGGGGAGGAAAAGGAGGAGGAAAGAGAAGGAAAAGAAGAGGAGAAGGAAGGAAAAAGAGAGAGAAGAAGAGAGGAAAAGGAAGAAGAGAAAAGAGAAGGAAAGGAAAGAAAAGAGAAAGAAGGAGAAGTTGGAGAGAGGGAAGAAAGGTGCAGTTACTAATTCTTGGGGTAAATATGGAGTTATCAGAGATACTGACATGTGGTAATTTTCATTCAACTTTTTTATTCTTGTTAAAAATTGTTGGGGATGAGACAAATATACATATCTGAAACTGGGAGGGAAATGAATATGAAAGTTGATATGTTCCTTTTATTGCAATGCTTGATATATTCCTTGTAGACTGCCATATTCCAGTTGCCAAGGTTGTTCTTTATGTTAAAAGAAATGCTGATTCCAAGGTTGTGTAGATTGAAAATGTCTGATGAATGTGATAGTCGGAACCTTTTCCTTTTCTTATTGTAATTACTGTTTCTGTATTATGTAGGAACAAGCGACCTGAGTTCACGGCATGGTTAGCAGAAGTGAAACAGGTATTTGGTTGCATCATTTGTGTTATTATTCCCTAGCATTTTGATACTTTATTCATTTGTTGGATTTGCTAAATACATCTTTCATGGTAGTGAGAGAAATATACATGTTCTTTATCAATCATTTCTCCTTTTATCGATGGTTTGGAGTTTGTTTACAACTATATATATGATCCCTCTTCACAGATTAACTTGGAAAGTTTGCCCAACTGGGAAGAGAAGCAGTTGTTTAAAGAGTAAGTACATCAATCTGTATATGGTTCTCTTCTCATGGTCTTCTTATAATTACGTATAAAAATGTAACTCTATTATATTTAAATCCGATTTGCAAATCTAAAATTTGTTTCATTTTTGCAGATTTATGGAGGATCACAACACGGCCACCTTTCCTTCCAAAAAGTAAGGCTCTCTATAGTTAATGATATCGATTCTTGTTTCAACAAGAATATGTGTTAATAAATTCTTATTGAAATAAAAAGGACGTGGATAGGCTTTAGGTCTTTCGACTTTTGTGTTCCTTTGTCTCCTTAGGTACATAACATACCCTGTGCAACAATAGTAAAGTAGACCATTTCATTACTTAAGGAGTCAATGTTTGCTGGTCTAATGTGCTGCTTATTGTTCTATTCCTGTTCATGATGGTTATAGGCCTTTTTCCCCTCCAATCTTTGGGCATGTTTCAGCTTTTGTTTGTAGGAGCATCAATGCATTGCAGTATTGCCCCTGACAGTAAGACCTCATTATTGGTTGTTGCAGATATTATGACCTTGACGCTTATTACAAGCGTAAAATGGAGAAGGAAAAGAAAAAGGGTATTAAAAAGGTTCTCGATTCAGAGCGTACTGTATTTAATGATGAAGAACAGCGCCGGTATGTTGTAACGCTTACTGCATCATTTATACCATATTGATATTGAAAGTAGCTGGTATCCTAGTTTTATTGCATTTTTCTTGAATATAGCTATATTTGAATTGGACTTATGTTTGATCATCCTTGCCTTCATATATGTCTTAATCTCAATTCTTGTAGTCAGATTTGCAATTCATTGGTATAATGGCTTAAAAATTGCCATTTTCTGTATCTGTTAGCTCGGTTGTTAGATGCATCATAAAATTAAACTTCTTCAATCTGTAATTGGGATGGTTTTTTAAAAGCAATTTCAATATTATATGGTTCTGTCAACTTACTGATCTTGCATCTGTAATTTTATGAGGCTGTTTATTTACACACCCCTTAATCACTCTAAGAGACTGTCAAATTCTATGCCCTTGTACAACATGCAAATTCAAAATTTAAGTATCTATCTGAGAAAGTACTTAAGATGCTATATTGTATGACATTGAATAAGTATGTCTAATAAGATGATGAGGATGTTATTGAACCTAAACAAGGACAAGGGTTGGTAAAACTCTATTGTAATTAGGTCGATTTGATTTATTGTGCATAAAGGTTCCTATCAAAAATTGTTTGTAATATCTGCTTAGTGGTCCTACATTACTGTAGTATATCTTTGCTTCAATGTTAATTTCTGTCTCTTTGGAGAAAAAAAATATTGAATTCCTTTTTCTCTTTAGTTCCATGGTTTGAGAATTGGAATGTGAAATTTGAAATTGTTAACAATGATTAGGTCATTAATATTACATGCATTATGTTCTTGGGGTTGGCTCATAATCCAATTCTGTATTTTCAGGCAAGAACTGCTTATAGCCCGTGAAAAGCAGAAGGAAGAACAGGTTGAAGGTTTGAAGCGTGCTATGCAGAGTGGAATGGTCAGCTCTTCCTTGGCCTTCTAAGCATAGTCACTCTTTTGCTAATTTGTTAAACTCAAGACCAAGTTAGGTTTTCTCACCTCCTTATCTGAATTTGCAGGCACAAGCAATGAAAGAACAAGCTCAGCTGCGGGAAGAGATGGCTTACCAGTACAAAATTGGCAACTTTGAGGTGAGGAAGATCTCTTGGTTTTGTCTTATCTGTGCAAATTTTGAATAATTTCATCGTAATAATTGATGTAATATTGCTGTTTTATCTTTACAGGCTGCAGCTGCCATACAAAAAAGGCTGGATCCAGATGTTGCTATGTAAGAAGGATAACCTATATGGGTTTCAACTACTCAGAAATCATGCATTCCACATTGGCCGTGTAAGATGCATGGGGATCTCATCGGTTATAAGCTTTGTAATTACCGCCCAGGAGAGCATAGTATCAGGAGAAAGAATTTCCTTCTATTCTTGTCAGATTGAGTAAAGTTGTATCCATTACCGGGTTAACAGTTTTATAACTACCTTCTGCTCGCCCTCTCATTGAATTTGACATTGGAATAGCATGTTTCTGGATCATCTTTAGTATCCAAAAAGAGTATTTTATCGAATCTATAGTTATGAGATTTCATGCTATTGCTAGCATTAGTGTAGTTTGGTTTGTGTGTAATCCCTCTAAATGAGTTGTAAGTGAGCTTTGCACAACAACAATGAGAGAGCCGTAAGAAATTGGAGCTTTTAAAAGGGCCGTGCAGTAAAACTGATAAATAAAAATGATCGGTGGGTCCAATCTTGTGAGAAAGTTACAATGAAAGATTGATCCTATGTTGCCAGAATCGTGGAATATTATTGTTGGTCTGTTACTATTTGACTACGCCAAGTCACCAGTATGATTACTTTATGGAATAGTATATATTGAATTGGATTCTTTCCCTTTCACTTTCCCCTTCCTGTAAACTCTCCGGAATTCAAGAAACCCTGATCTCGCCAGTTTGATCGATGATGGCTGAAAACTCAGTTGACCCAAACTCGAAACACCAACGATCACCCGAAAGCTGCTTAGACAGGATCAGTCAATTGCCAGATCACTTGATAGAACACATATTATCCTTTCTGCCTACGCAAGATGCCGTGGCCACTTCCATTCTCTCCAAGAGATGGTATCCCTTTTGGACTAAACTACCAGTTCTCCATCTTCAGGACTCAACCCGTTGCGAAACCAGACGACAAACCAGGGTCAAGTTCAAGCAATTCGTCTCCAGGGTTTTGCTGCTTAACGAAGCTGCTTCTTTGCACAAGTTTCGTCTCGATTGCCGTCCGATTTATGAACCCAAATGTTTTAACACCTGGGTTTGCTCTGCTATCAACAAAGGTGTCCGAGAAATCGATATCTCCATCTCCACGACTCCGAAACATAGATTCTTGAAGCTGCCCTCCCGGTTTTTCCAGGCAGAGACTCTCAGGTTCTTGAAACTCAGTGGTGGGGTTCTCATTGATATTCCTGGTGAGTCATCAGTCTCTTTCCCAAGCCTCAAAACCTTGCATCTTTTGTATGTCAACATCGCCAATGATGAATCCCTGGGCAAGCTCTTTTCTGGTTGCTTTGTTCTTGAGACACTGCTTCTGAAAACAGATTACCATGAAAATACACTTGATATCAAACTCTGCTCACCAACTTTGAAGAGTTTGTCCATAAATCTTCGCTTTGCTGAATTCAAACTAGAGATAAACGCCCCAGTTCTTGAGTACTTGGAACTTGAAGAAAGTTACCACCAAGTGTCTTTCATTGGAAATTTATCTAGCTTAATTGAAGCAAATATTCATATTAATTATGGGATTAGCCTAAACCAGCTTATCAGAGTGCTCTACAATGTCAAGCTTCTTTCCTTAGCTTCATATTGCTATTCTGAACCGGTAAGATGTGTTTCCAATGGTGTAAAAATTGTACTAGTTCTATCTATTTCTTACAAAATGCTGTTGATTGTCACAATTTGATTCTTTTTCCTAACAAAAAAATTTTCGATTTTGGTTTTAAAAATCAATAACAAATTAGAACTAAAAATTATGTTAGAAAAGTCAGATTGTGACAAGAAGAATAAAACAGAGACTGTCCTATAGTATTTATTATTGCATATCTTCTCTTACAGGTGCCCCATGGCTATGCTTATCCCTTGTTTCTTAATTTGGTCCAGTTGGAGATATTAATTGGTTTGCCTGGCTGGGATGTACTATCACACTTGCTTACCCTTTCTCATAACCTACAAACTCTTGTTGTTGAGGTGAGTTCAATAATAGAACATCATAAAATCAAGAAAAAATTATCTGATTCATCACGTAAGATTTTATTGGGTAATAATTAAGATGACTAATCGGGTAATTTGCTGAAAAAAGCTACTCTTATGTTTGCTAACTTGCTGCTTATAATTTGTATGTGTGTCTGTGCTTACCCAGAATAACTCAACAATTGATAGTCGATGGACAGAGCCAGAGTATGTTCCAACATGTGTGTCATCACGTCTAACAACAGTGTCTTTCAAAGTATTTCAAGGTCTACAAAGTGAAATGCAAGCAGTAGAATATATATTAAAGAATGCTAAAGTCTTGGAGATCATGCAAATTTGTACCCTCGATATGTCCCAGGATTCAAAGTCGTTTGTTCGGAACAGATTATCAGAGTTCCAATGGGGCTCCAAGACATGTCAGGTTGCAATACAGTAACAGGTCTGATGGAAAATAAGCGGTCCTGTATGGTGAGGAAGCTCTCCATTCCATTATCCTTTCTCATCAACTTCTCCCTTTTGGTCTCATTCTTGGAAGAAATATTGTACATATACATATTGATGATGAGATTTTTAGGTCAAATAGTGTTGAAATTGTGTTTTCTTTTTGATTTTCAATTTTCGATTCCAATTCAATTATGCGAATCCAATGTTCATAAAGAATGTATTAACGATACAATAACAAATTAAAATATTTTTAATAAAATTAATTTGTTTTTCATAACAAAATCTTGAAAAATCTTTTAACGATGACATGAACATCCATGAGTTAAAAAGAGGTTTTCATTATTTAATTGAGTCAAAAGAAAGGTTGGCTTCAATAAACTTTGCTTTTGTCCAAATAGGAAGGCAAACACTCTCCTCTTTCCCTTCTTGCTAAGGCAAGAAAGAAAGGCCAGTAAAACCAGGAGGCAACAATGGAAATGGAAGGCTGAGTCAGTCATGCAAATGGAGTTTACCAACTTAACTAAAGCTCCTTGTTCTTCAGCTTGAAGACTCATTTCTTGGTCAATCCATGGATAAGGTTTTTTACAATATTTATTGAAGTTCCTTTTATGCCAAGGAAATAAGGAGAAATATGTATTTGAAAGTAGTCATATTTTTATGATTATTTTTATGCCAGCTTTGAACTGCAAGGAGCATGCAATAGTCTTTTTGTTATATTATATAATTTAATATGTTTATATTAACGAGACCTTAATGTAAAGGGAATGAAAATGTTATATAATTATGTCATCAGAATACTTTAGCGCATATCACATTATCATCCATCATAATACATCAACATGTATGCCACATAATGACAAGTGATATTTTGATTAAGAGTAACTAATAAACTATTAATCATACAAGCTTATTTGATTTAAAATAAAAATATAAAAACTTAATTAGACATAATAAAAAAATAATATTGATGTAAATTTTTTTAAATAATTTAATGACTTTTTTAAATATTACACCAAATAGTATTCAAATTTCACTTCTTTTCTGAGTAAACAAGTGGATTTATTCTTCCTGTCAAGCTTGAGTTGAGGATTTGAACAAGCAATTTCAGCTCATCCCAATGAAATGTACAGCATAAAGAAGAGTTTAAAATGAGCTAAGTAAATTTGGATATGAGCTTTGAGCTTTTAAGATGGCCAAACAAATATAATCAGGAACAGCTTATCATTAATATACAACAATCAGACAAAAAGTTACCCTTATACAAGCATAAGGAATAATTGCAACTTTGGGCATTTATTTATTTTGTATAATTATTATTTCAATTGGTGTAATTTTATTTACATTGACATGAAAAGTTTGATAAGTGTCAGCTTTTGAATTGGTTATATAGGACTAGTTCATAATTTCTCCATGCCAAGTGCTTGAGAATATGAGTACAGTACTGGGAAATAGTCTGGAACCATCCCCTTTCCCTCCATACATTTATACCTTTCTTTTTCTCCCTCCTCAATCTCACACCTCCATTCCCTGTCTGTCCATTCATTTCCCACAGTTATTATTATCCATGGAAAACTCTGCATGTCAAGAAAGCAATGTTAGCTCAAAGTGTCAAAAACTATCCGATCAAGAGACCTTCCTTGACAGAATTAGCCAATTGCCAGATGTTCTAATTCAACACATATTATCATTTCTTCCAACAAAAGAAGCAATGGCCACTTCCATTCTGTCGAAAAGATGGCTATGGCTTTGGACTTCAGTTCCTGTTCTTGATCTGGAGGACTCACTCTTTTGCAGAAGTAATGGAAAACTCAGAACTGATTTCATCCGATTTGTCACTGAAGTTTTAATCCTTAACAAAGTGGCTTCTTTAGACAAGTTTCGTCTCAAATTCCATCGTGTTTACCCTCCCTCGAGTGTTAACACTTGGCTTTGGGCTGCAGCTGCGAGAGGGATACAAGAATTAGACATCACCATCCATGAGTATTCCCCCTTGTTGAAGTTACCATGTGCCCTTTTCACGGCAAAAACACTACATATTTTGAAACTGACTCATGGCATTGTGCTTGATGTTCCTGGAACAGTTTCTTTGCCAAGTCTCAAGGTTTTGCATCTTGCCTTGATTAAGTACGCAAGTGATGAATCTGTGTCCAGGCTTTTTGCCGGTTGTCCTGTTCTTCAAGAATTGCTTGTTCAAAAATTTGACGGTGATAATGCACTGGATTTCAATATTTCTATTTCTACATTGAAGACTTTGTCCATAAGCTTCTCCACTGGACGTGGAGCACACAAACTTAAGATAAATGCCCCAGTTCTTGAGTACCTAAATCTGCAAGACAGCCTGCCCCTGGAATATGATATTGAGAATGTCTCCAGCTTGGTTGAAGCAAATCTAACGGTTTCATTCCTTGAAAATCGCCACATTCCACTTGTCAAAGCTCTCTCCAATGTCAAGTGTCTTTCCATCAACTGGGACTGGTACACATCTCTGGTAAGTAGGATGTGCTGACTAGTGACAATTTATAGTTACTATCATTGTCAATGCTCAAAGGTTTTTCTCTTGTTTTAATTGTCTTCTCTCCCAGACATTGGGTACCTGCAAAACTTTTCCTTTGTTTCTTAATCTGGTCCGACTGGAACTAAGTGTTGGTTGTGGTGGATGGAGTGTGGTATCACGTTTCCTTGAATATTCCCACAATTTAGAAGTTCTTGTTCTTGCTAAGGTGGGTCACATTTACCTAAAAAATCAATAAAACTGGTTCATTTTTTCTTCTAATCAGTGGTCTAGTGAGTTCTTCTTGGTTGTTCTTTCCTCAGCAGAATGCCAATTGCCGTGGACTTGGACATGAATGCTGCTGGAAACCCCCAAAGAGTGTTCCTAAATGTTTGCTGTCACCCCTAACATTGGTCTATTTTAGAGGGTTTGAAGGTCTAACATATCAGCTGAGAGTGGTAAAATTCATTTTGAAGAATGCCCGAGTTCTGAAGATGATGGAAATCTGTACTAATGGCATCAGTGATCTGCCTTTGGATTCAAAGTTTGATATGCTCAGGAAATTATTAATGTTCCCAAGGGGCTCCAAGGCATGTCAACTTCAATTCAACTGAAATCTTTGTCTCAAGGATACAGGTAAGTCCTGATTTTCAACCCCTTTTTTCAATTGTAGTTCTTACAATAAAATTGGCTGATATGATAACTTGTCTGAGTCTGAGGTTGAAATGTAGGTTGTTAGCATTTCATTTTCAGCTCAAGAATATTGCCTTGGTTTTTCTGTCAAAGAGCAAATGGTACAATTGATTTCTAAAAGAACTACTTGCTTTTGTTAATCCATTTGCATTTCCTCTTTAACTTCCACAACTTGATCCTTGGAGGAGTCAGGTGGAAAACACTCATTCCTCATAATTAGATAGTTAAGTAGAAGTAAGCCCTTGATTGTTCATGTTGTTGCTTCCTTACAGAGTATCCCAATTGATGATTGCAGGTTCCTTTTAAATTGGCTTATGCTTAGGAAAGGTAACAAAGCTATGGTCGTTATTGTCAGAACAGACTGCTCCTATGTCACGTTCAAGCTCTTTAATATGACTCCAACGTTGTAAGATGATTCTTAAGTGGATTACCTCTATATGGGATTGCAATTATTATTGTTTTATTATTCTAATTGTTACTCCTAGAACACTTTCTAAGCTCTAATGTAAATCAAAGCAAAGAACTAAATTCTACTAGACTTGTTTGATTTACCACTAACCGTATGGAACCCTTCTCAGCAAAAGAGAACCCACTAAACCTGGATTAAGCAACTACTTTTCTTAATCCGTGGCATGGAGCAAATTCCAAGTCTACCCTTTTGGGGACAAATTGGGATGATGCTCTTACATTATTAAAAGCCATGAAGCTTCAACTGGGAGGCGAAAACAGAGCAACCAAAGTACCAAACTCAGTATCAGAAACAGCAAAACTGAACTAAACCAAATGGAACTCCCCAGCAAATGTTGTCTTCGAAGCTTCTAAAGAAAACCTTTTCTTCTTGCTCAACTAAAGCCTTAATAGACCAAATTTCTCAGGCTTTTCTTCACCAGAAACATTCTATCGTCTTGAACGCAACTTTACTCTCAAAACTCCAACCATCTCACGTTAAACCCATACTTTTAACCCTCCAATCCAAACCCCATTCTGCCCTTAACTTTTTTCGATGGACCCAAAGTTTCTTAAAATTACCCCACGGTGTACCCTCCTACTGTGCACTCATTTCCCTCTTGCTTCGCCACCGAATGTTTTGTTCCGCAGCTCTGGTGTTCGATGAAATGATGGTCCGTTTTGGTACGAATATCGATGTTTTTGGTGCTTTTAATGAAGGAATCAAGGATTTTGACTCGAACCCGAATGTTGTTTTTGGGTTTTTGTTGGAAAGTTACTGCAAGAAAGGGATGGTGGGTATGAGTTTTTGTGTGTTTGTGAAATTGTCTAGATGCGGTGTTTATATGTCGCCTAATTTGGTGTATAGGATGTTGTATTCTTTAGTTAATGCGAATCGTATTGACATACTTGTTGATAACTATGGTGAATTGTGTAGACTGTTTATAACACGGGATTTTTGTGTTTATGGGATTGTAATGGAAGGGTTTTTGAAGAAGGGGAAGGTTGACAAGGCATTGAATTTTCATAAAGAGGTGATTGAGAGAGGTTTAGGGGTTGACATTGTTGCATGCAACAAGATTTTGAATAGTCTTTTAGTAAATAAGGAAATAGGAATTGCTTCTAAGTTGTTTGATATGATACTAAGTCTTGGTCCATTGCCAAATGTGGTGACCTTTAGCACATTGATTAACATGTATTGCAAGGATGGAAAATTAGATAAAGCATTTGAGGTTTACAATGCTATGAGAGAGAGGAACATATTACCAGATTTAATTATGTATGCTATTCTTATCGATGGTTTTTTCAAGGCAGGGAGATTGGATGAGGGAGAGAAGCTTCTCTCTGTGGCATTAGATCGAGGTGTCAAGTTGGATGTAGTTGTTTTCAGCTTGATTATGGATGCATTTGGGAAGGTAGGGGATTTGGGAAGAGTGGTTCAGGTTTATAAGAGAATGTTGGAGGAAGGTTTATCACCTAATGTGGTTAGTTACAGCATTCTCATAAATGGGCTGTATGGGAATGGTAGGATGCTTGAAGCTTGTGGTGTATTTGGTCAAATTATCAAACGGGGTTTTGAGCCATCCATCGTAACCTATAGTAGTCTCATTGATGGCTTTTGCAAGTTGGGAAATTTGAGGGAGGGGTTTTATTTATTTGATGATATGGTAAAGAATGGCCATCAACCTGATGTCGTTGTTTACAGTGCATTAATAAATGGCCTTTGCAAAGAAGGGCTGATGACAAGTGCTCTCATGGTCTTCTTTCACTGTGTAAGCAGGGGTCTAAAACCCAATATCTTTACTTTCAACTCCTTGATGGATGGTTATTGTAGGTTGAAACAGTTAAGGAATGCTGTGAAGGTGTCTACTTTAATGGGGATGTATAACATAAAACAAGATATGGTGACCCACACTGTGCTCATCAGAGAGATTTCTAAGCAAGGAAATTTGGATGTAGCACTTTTAATATTTTTTCAAATGCTTAAGAGGGGTTTCCCTGGAGATGCTATAACATACTGTACCATCATGGCTGGATTCTGCAAACATCAAAATTTAACTTCTGGATTGCAGATTTTCAAGCTGATGCAAAGGAATGGAGTAGTTCCTGATATTGCGATATATAATGTTCTCCTCAATATGTTTTTCAAGGAATTTCTTCTGGAAGAGGCATCAGGGCTGTTCAGGAAACTTGTTGAGAAAGGGCCAAAACCTGATATTATAACATACAACACAATGATATGTGGTTATTGCTCTTTGAAAAGATTGGATGAGGCAATTAGCCTTTTTAAACAGCTGAACGGTTGCCTCTTCGGACCCAATTCAATTACCTTTACCATATTGATTGATGCTTTCTGCAAGGAGGGTAGAATGGATGATGCCATGTTGATGTTTTCCAAAATGTTGGAGAAGGGTCCAGAACCCAATGTTGTAGCATACAGTTGTCTAATTGATGGCTACTTCAAATCCCAAGATATGAGGTCTGCAACTGACCTTCACCAAGAGATGCTTGAAAACAAAATCTGTCCAAATATTGTCAGTTATAGCATCCTTATCGATGGCTTTTGCAAACGAGGATTAATGGCAGAAGCATCACTTGCATTCCACTGTGCTCTAGATAGATATTTATTGCCTGATGTAGTTGCATTTACGATTCTGATTCGTGGTTATTGCAAAGTTGGCAGATTATTGGAGGCCATGCTGTTATGCGAACAAATGTTCATGACTGGAATCATGCCTGATGATTTACTGGAACGAACTCTTGTGGAGTATAATCTTTAAAGCCTTGGAAAAGAGTCATGTACATGGATCTTTTCTTGACTCATTCCACCAATTTGTGCTCATCAATGACTGATTCTTCGTTCTTTACAACCCTCTAGGTTATTAATTTCCACTCTCCATTACATTTATAGGGCAAAATTGTAATTTTAGGTTATCAGTACAAGTTCTATTTAAAATCTTTGCTGTACATATATTGAGTTAGTGCTTATGGATTCTAGAATCAATAAATTTTTAGAAACATTGCCATTCTCTTGCAAATAGTTTGTGAACTTCGTTACATTTGCTTGTCTGTTGAATCTCTGAATTTGAATTGCTTTAGGATGATGTAAGAAACATTCAGGAACATGCTGCGGTGCCTCCCATGTGAATTTCTCAAGGTCCTTGGTATTCAATTGTGCAGTTTCCTGACAATTTCAAAACAGAAGCAAAGAATGACTACACTGCAATGGCACTCATATCAAACGTGATGCACCGTGTAGTTCTCGTCGTCCAGACCAATGGAAAAAAGAAGTTTCTCACTGCAACATAGCTGATCTTCCCAAGGACAAGAACTGCTAGACTAGGCGATTTCTCAAGCAACTTTGGCAGCAGAAGACTGCGGTATTCATTTCATCCCAGCCTCAGTTGAGTTATATTACGAAACACAGGCAGATCAGAAGTATTTACAAGGGAGAAAACCTACATAACAGAGAAAACATGTCCAAATTTATTGAATACATAAAGGAGAGCTATTCATGCAGAGACTTTTGTAGAGAACCTTTCTCATTAGAGGAACCTTTGGGTTCAACATGTTTGAGGCTTAGTCCAGGTTTGTAAATCAAAGTTCAATTTGTATATCTCAAGAAAGCATCATTCATTCTTTCAAATGAAATATCTCCATATTTGAATGAGAAAGATGAAAAAAATCATAACAAGATAAGAATACATAAAAAGCAGAGCAAGCTAACCTTCATAGAATGATTACATAAGCTATGGAACTTAGGCATTAGAGATACCCCTAAGAAGCTGAAGTCCAGCTACAGAAACATTCTACCTCTAGCCATTGTCCAAAACATTATAATCATCTTTTCTAGCCGGCAAACAGATGAAGCGCTGTCGGATTAAGATTCCTTGTAAAAAGCCTGTAGTGACACTGGACATGGTTGAGGGTTTAACTGTCACAGTTCAAGTGTTTAACATTTTCCAGACATTGTATGTGCCCCAAGACGGTCCCTGTTCTCTTTGGACACTAAAAGCCACCCCAAGTTTAATGCTCTTGAGCTCGACTCAGATTTGAGGTGGTAAAAAAACTTAAAAACCACATTAATCAATAATGAAATAAACCAATGGAAATCTATTAAGCTCCCATCTACCCCACAACAGGAGAAAAAGGAGGGAAATTAGGAGGTGATTCTCCACCGTTTGATGGATGTTGAAATGTGGACCAACAAGCTCTTTTGCAAGAAGATCAACGGTTTTGAGAATGGGGAATATGTAGACAGAAAAGACCACTGATGTTATTCGGAGTACTGTCCCTTTCAATGGAAGCGGCGGAAATATATTTTTATATTAAGTATATATTTATTAATTTATTATTTATATAAATAAAGAATAAAACAAGTTTAATTAAAATAAATAGTTCCATAATGGCTTCTTTTATTAGTGGAGTGTGGTCTTTGGCTATTTGGCTTAAATGGGCTCATGGCAACAACTTCCTACAACTTAATCTCTATGTAACCTGATTATTATTGTAATTAATCAAAGCATGTGGTTTGCATTAAGCTAAATAAATAAAGAATCCGAAGCCAAGCCATCAAACAACTGTCCAAGTCTAAGCCACGACCGGACATGGATTCTTTTAAGACAACAACTAAATTTCTTATTTAAAAGTAACAAATCTTTGTCTTAAAATCAAAACTATCCCAAAAAATAAAAAAAGAGCATTGAAAAATACTCCAAATCTAAAACCCTTTTTCTGTGACTTCCCACCTTCTAAGCTTGCACTCTACTCTCCAAGTAGCTCCCCCTTTTCTCCCTCTCCCTCCCTCTCTCTCTCTCTCTCTCTCTCTCTCTCTCCACTAACTCTGCTACTTGTCTCCTTCATATTCTAAACTTTTGTCTAATTCTAAGAAAAAAAAAATGAGGGGTCCTTTGGGGGCAGTAATAGGAAGGTACCCATCAAGTGATGGAACTACACAAATTGGAGGGATCATTAGGCACAATAGGAAATGTAGAGATGTTGCTTTTCTTATCATTTTTATAGCATTTTGGGTTGCTATGATTGTTAACTCTAGCTTTGGGTTTAACCAGGGAAACCCATTAAGGTAAACTTTCTTTCTTTCTTTTTCTTTTTGTGGCTTCCTTTTTTAGCTTTACCCACTTAACATTCTTGTTGAATCTCAAAATGGGTATCTTTTCTTTTGGTATGGATTGTATTTTTGGGGTCATTTTTATGGTATGTTTTGTTTATCTCTTAAATGGAATCCTTGTTTTGGTTTCCTTAATAGTTTTAACTCTAATGGGTCTTTTTATTTTCTGTCAAGCTACATTTTTTGCTTACTGTGCGAGTATGTTTTTTTATTATTACATAGTACAAATTATTGCATTTTCAGTTAGTTTTTTTTCTTGTTTCTTTTATTTGGTTGCTAAGAGAATTGAGGATTCTGATAGAAAATGGCAGGAACACATAGGGATTTGCTTTCTCTATTAGGTTCGAACAAACATGAAGCAATTCCATGTGTGAGAAGCTGAGGGCTGGCTGACACCTATTGGGATTACTCCCAAGTTACACGAATACTCAAGGCGCTGTCATTTGGAAATATGAGGCTTTTGAAGTTAGACACTTGTGAAAATTAGACCTGAAATTAGTCTGGAACAATCTGTGACTCCATTTAGATGTTTACGACCATTCACCTATTCTAGTTTTATGTTTATAGCTTCAGTTAGGAAAAATAACAACTATGGATAGTGTCATTTGCCATCTTAGCTTGTAATGGCCTTTCTAGATAATTGGAAATTCTTGGTTGGAACAATGGTTGCACAATTTTAGAGAGGTTAAACTCGCCAGCTGCCAATTGTCTAATACTAAAAACATGTTCTTCAATTATGTTTTTGAGATGATAGTAGTATCTAATTTCAGGTTTCAAGTTGTCAGTAATTACCAAGTTCAGACTTGTTTGACTGGATTTGTTTATTTTTTACACAGAAAAGAGGCATTGTCTATGGAATATAAGCACATACTTTAGAATTTTGCATCGTAGTTGCTCATAGTAGTTAATAATTACAAGTTAACTGATCTATTTGTAAAACAAGATTAAAAATGAGAGTTGCAAGGACTTAGCTAAGCTAGAGATGATCAATTTGCAATCCAGTGGCATTTCTTGATACTCAGGAATTTCTATTGGACAATACTAGTACCTATGTTTGAGTTTCAGCTATTTTGAAGGTGACAAACCTGAGTTTGGCCATCAGCACCTCATCTTATAATCAATGTTAGAGTCAGTTACAGATCTATTCATTCAGACTTAGGAAACACTTCCTGACCTTGGAACCTAAGAAAACTGCTGATATTTTGTGGAAAATACAGTTCTTTCTGTTTCTTTGGGGCACTAACTTCTAAATGGTGCTCTTGCCTATTCATCTATGTATTGTAGCTTAATTTAGTTTTACTTTTTCTGCTTTCTTACTCTATGTTTTTTTATTCTACTTTTTCTATTTTCTCTTTTGTGATTTTGATAATTTGTTTGATGTTGGATGGCATATCAGGCTTACATATGGGCTGGACTACAAAGGGAATTTATGTGGTGATGAACATGCAGATCCTAGCCTTCATCAGTTGGAACTCAAGTATTGGTTGAATCCAAATCAGGTTTATCAAAGTGGTGTGAAGGACAGCCAATTCAAGTTGTCTAATGCTCGGAGTATATGCTTGTTGGATTGCCCTATTCCATCAGAAGATTCACTCAATTGGGTCTGTGATTATCCAGAGGGGGATATCCGCCTCTCAAAGGATGACTGGATCGATAGAAATTATGATTATTTTGAATTCCTTACACCAGAAATGAGAAATGCTTCTCTTCAACTTCAGGGTCCATGTTACCCAGTTATATTTCCTAGTGTAAATGGTGGGTAAATGAGAATGCTTGTTTAATGGTTTAATATTTGTTTTATCAGCTCATACATATGCTTCCTTTTACCATCTTATGAATTGTATTATATATGCTGTTCCAGTTTACTGGAGTTGCCAATTCATTGCTCGTGCATCAAACACATCTTTGCGGCATTGGCAACAGATGGGTGGAGTGAATATCAATGAAGATATTGTAATAGACAAATCCATTCACAGGTCCATCAATTCTCGGTCATCTGTCTTAAAGGTTAGAAACTCTCCTGCAATGCTTTTTTGCTTATCAAGGATGTATCTTAACTATCTTGCCTATATCAACTTCTTGCCTTGCTTTTCTGAGTTGGGTTGAAAGGGGGGCTGAGGTTTGAACCGTAAACTCCTTGAGTTGTGTAAATACACAATATGATTACTCTCCTTTGCCTGTATAATAAAGTTTGTCATTACATTTCTGTATTTGGTCTTGGTATGTTCTTCTAGTTTCTTTCAAATGATTGGTTTTTGCGTAAAGCAGGCCTCAATGTGGTTCCTCATTTCATTTACATTATGTCAAGCAATTTTATAGCTCATACTTTTTGAAAAGTATCATTATCCAACTTTGTGGAATATGAAGATGGATATGCTACAATTTGAAGTTAATTTCATGTATTATTGCAGCGTTACATGGCTGACATTGGAAAGTCATGGCCAGTATTGATAGTTTGTGGAGGGCTGCTGCCACTGTTTCTGTCAGTAATATGGCTGTTAATGATTCGCCATTTTGTTGCTGCAATGCCTTGGTTCACAGTTGCCCTCTTTAACATTCTCATAATCACAGTTACGATGTTTTACTACTTAAAAGGTTAGAAGTATGCCTCTTACGTCTTAGTATTCTTTATGGATGCCACAAACTTGGAACTCATACCACAAATGGTCTAATTCATTTCTAGTATGTATTTAAATGCAAGGAGAGCTACTAGTTTCAATAAATGCTAAATTAATCTTGTCCTTCTTGCTTTTTAGCTGGATGGATTGGGAATGATGCGATCTCCCCTATCATTGGTGAGCACGACCCATACATACATGTTTTTGGACGGGTGCGTTATCGTTTTTCTCTTTGTTCATGTTAGGAAGCTTTTTTAATAACTGGTATATTTATATGTGATACGTGCTAAACATTTGCTTATTTCAGGAACTAAATCATCTCCGTGCTGTTGCCATTCTTATGACATTTGTTATGGTTGTGTCCATCCTAACATCAATTGCAATTGTTCGCCGCATCCTAATGGCAACATCGGTCCTCAAGGTAAGTATGATCTAATTATCATATGTGGTGAGGAGCCATTGCTTTCCATTGAAAGCATTTGGATAATTTCGCTTGGCTTTAAAAAGAAGGGATAAGGAAAAAGAGTGCTTTCTGCATCTAGGAGCAGGCAAATGATTCAATTGATTAGTTCATGATGCTTTAATTCCAATTTTGTTTCTTCCTAGATGTTAAGCTCTTTTTGACTTGCAATAACTTGTCTGGAGGTAGGAAGTGCCAATATACATTTTGTGTCTTCCTAGATGTTAAGTACCAATCTAGGTTAGCACTTGTACAGCACCAGCTAGATATTACTGTGAGATTGAGCAATAGGCAGCATGGCAACCCCTATTCTAGAATCAGAAACTTTTCTCGAATGCAAAGTTCTGATATTACCAATGGTGTATCAGAATAGACAAGATAAAGCTCCTTTTAATCATGTATTATCTTATTTTATGGGGTACCACTGCATATTTATACTTGTCACTTTTGCTTGGTCAATAATGCAGTTCTTTGGTTTTTGGAATTTTTTTTTTGTTTTAACAGTAATTTTGGTTCCATACTTTCAAAAGGACAAAATAATATATGCTTCAAACTGTATACAGGTTGCTGCAAAGGTCATAGGAGAAGTTCAAGCACTGATCATTTTTCCAATCATGCCATATGCAGTTCTTGCAATTTTTTACATGTTCTGGATATCAGCTGCCCTGCATCTGTTCAGTTCAGGTCAGGTTGTCCAGAACAACTGTAATTCCAACTGCTGTGCTTATGATCTTGTGTCGAAAAAGGTGAATTGTGATCGTTGCTGTGGTTATAGCATCCGTTACACCCCTCATATTGCTGTTGCCATCTTTTTCCACCTGTTTGGGTGCTACTGGGCTACACAATTTTTTATAGCATGCTCTTCAACTGTGATTGCGGGTTCTGTTGCCTCTTACTATTGGGCTCGTGGTGAAACATCGGTAAGCTTCTAAGACATTGTATAGTTTTATAGGTATCCGTGACTGTTTACTTAAGAATTTTTCTGTCACGTTTCCTTCTATGTTTCATTTTGGAGGAATTTATTCCCAATGATTTATTCTTTCCCTTATTATTACTGTGGTTCACTCTTGCAGCCAGAGATCCCATTTCTTCCTGTTTTTGCCTCTATGAAGCGGCTTATACGATACAGCCTTGGTTCCGTGGCCCTTGGCTCATTGTTTGTGTCCTTTGTGGAATCAATTCGTTTCATTCTTGAGTCAATTCGTCGTAAACTCAAAGTTGCTGGCACTACACCAGATAGTTGGTTTGGAAAGATGGGATATCACAGTTCCCAAGGATGTTTGAGATGTGTTGAGTGGACAATCAAATCAGTCAATCGCAATGCTTATATTATGGTAATTTTCCAGAAATAGCTTTGAGAAAAATAAAAATGTCCATAAATTTGCAAAAGCTTGTACATTTTTCTTTACATCCATCCACCCTAACAGATATTCTACAAGGACAGAAAAAACGGAATAGAATGCAGAACGAAATCTAGATTTGCTTTCTGTAATCCTTCTTATCACTTTTGTTGTTGTAACTGCCAATGTCATGATCTCATTTTTTTCCATACATTGGAGAACTATGTGTAGGACTTATCATCAGGTTGCACTTATACCTTATTAAGAATCTATTTGACAAGTTTTTAGTGAATTTTTATTTTTATTGTATCTCTGAACTTTATCCTAAATATTAATTTATTGCTCTTCCAGATTGCTATAACAGGGAAAAGCTTCTGTAGGGCGTCTGCCATTGCAACAGAATTGATCATGAACAACATCCTTCGAATCGGGAGGGTGAATGTTATAGGAGATGTTATCCTATTTCTTGGGAAGTTGTGTGTCAGCCTTTCAAGTGCTGTTTTTGGTTTCCTCATGTTGGATACCCACAAGTATAGCTCTGGTCATAACAAAATATCCTCTCCGCTGCTTCCTGTGCTGGTATGTTATCATTGTAAATTTTTTGTGATCATTTAAATCCAACCTTCAGTTGCTTCACATAAATAATTGAAGAAAAGACAATTGCAATTTTGCTTAAGACAAGTTAATGGGTAATGGACAGAAAAGCAAAAACTAATCAAGGAATTAAGACTGCTACTGTTTAGGTCTTGTTTTCTTCATGTTTCATGCCAGTGCATAGAGTTAAAAAGTGGAAAGCGTGTCATCAAGCATGAAATGCATGTCCATAACCTCTTTAAGTTTGATGCAAGAATGAAATGCTGCCCCCTGAATTGACTTTGCCGTACACATCGATTTCCACTTTAGAGATGTCTTGCACTACATATTGCCTAATGAGTCAAGAAAAGTTCGAGGCATATAATTTCCTTGGCTTTGGAGCAGAGACATGGAGCATTTGGAAGAATATTTGATTGAGTAAAAATTGTTTACATGCTGATTCTTTCAGTTAGGTGACTTTTTTCGGGATATATCTTTTTGCCAAGTCTTCTTAAAAATGCATAGTAAGAGATAAAGGACAAGATAGGACAGGGAGAGATTGAAATTTACACATGCTTGCACCATGAGTACGAAAACACTCCCACAAGGGAAATATGAGGACTAGTGTTTAAAATTCCTGCTTACATTATGTTTTTGCAGGTTTGTTGGGCACTTGGTTATGTAGTTGCAACTCTCTTCTTTGCTGTGGTGGAGATGTCAATCGATACCATAATTCTTTCATTCTGCCAGGATTCGGAAGAGCACCAAGGGACAGCCCAATATGCACCTCCCCTTCTCATTGAAACTCTCAATGACCAAAATGAGATGCAGAGACTTACCCAATGATCTTATTCCATGTATAATTTTCCATAGAATTCCTGAATCCTTAATATATTATAGTGCTCTTACATTTTCATTATCGTATCATTTCTGGTTTCTTTCTGCATAATATCTTTTGATCGTTTCCTGTATATAGTTGATGGTCATGAACATGAAAATTTTTGGTCCTAAGGAATATATCTGCTTCTCCTTTATGTGTCAGAATGATATCCATGGGTAGGTGGATGCATTAGAATCCATCTTTCCTCTTTCTTTTTTCTAAACGAAATAGGGCCACAGGGTTCAACTGCACCATTGATGAATGTAATGTAAAACTCAGACAATTTTCTACTTGAAATGAGAGATATGTAAAATATAGATATTATGACAGATTTTGTCATAAACAGCAGAGGTTCTTGGACTGATAATTTATTCTCAATTTCCTTTGAGGAAAGGGAAGAGGGAAATTTCTTTTCAAAGTCACTCATTTCTGTGGTAGCCATGTGGGATGCTAACAAGTCAAACATTATAAAGCAGCATCATTAAAAAGAGCCAAAGAGGGACACCATGCCTCAGTGGCATCTTTACTTTTTATGTATAGGCTCACCTTTATTCTAGAAAAATGCTGCCAAAATTCAAAGGTTCCCGCCCTGGGAAGAGATTGTCAAACCACAGTCATTTAGACTGATAGATTCACCATGTGCTTTGCACAGTTTGGATCTCAATATTGCTCTACCAGGGAGAGAAAAAGGCATATGAGAAATTCCTCCCCAAGGAGTCCAGTATTTTTCAACCAATGAGGTTGGATTGTTGTTCCTGTCTTGCTACTACAATAGCAGGGCTCTAATCCTCAATTCTATGTACATTGAAACATAATTATAGAAAAAGGAGTTAAGGTATTAATATAACTACAATAGCTGAATCCGTATAACTCAGGATTTTCTGCGTTCTTTTTTATGAAAAATGACAGGAAGGAGAGATTTTCTCAAAGTTGCAGCATCTAGCAGTTTGTGATCAGCAACCTTGGTTTCTAAGCATGAAGAACATTTGCTTATGTATCAACGTCAATTGTATTAGAACAAAGTTCCAATATTGCAGCCATTGAAGATGCATGACAACCCAGTTTCTACCACCATGTTTATAAGAAAAAGAAGGAAAAAGAGACGGAGAAAACTCAAACATGCACACTTTCTTTCGGATTTTGAATGGAAAAAAAAAGAAAAAGAATTGCCATATTTTGTCTAAGCTGTTCAATTTTCCCTTTTTGTAGATGACTGCTATGGTTGAGTCTGTATTACCAAAAACCTTGAAATGATTGAGCCTTTCTGTTTAGGAGGATCACATATTCATCGGATTCTTATTCTTTGCAAAGCTCAGGTGCTTTGGGTTGATTACATCGACTCGAATTGATAATATTCGACCATTATCCTCCTCATTCCATTTAATTGATTCCTTCTCAAGCTGTTTCTTAACCTGCAAAAGAAATTTTAAGTGCTAATTTCTTAACTCATAGCTTAAAGTAAATAAAAAAAAAATAGATCGTTACAAGGAGCTCGTTTGCAATACCTATCAGAAGATTAATCAAAAGCTAACTTGCAATGATATAAGACGTTCTTAATTGCTTGACCATGTCAAAAGTTAATTGAGATAATAATACAGTCATACCAGTTACTACATTAGGCCTTTGTCTTGAGCTTGCATCAAGCCTGTTTCTCAAGAAACTAATATAAGATTGGGGTGTCCTGTTTTAGGGTTAAAGCTCAGTAGGATTTGGCAGTTCCTATCTTGGGTGATTTTTGTAATGGTCCTCTGTATCTAAATAACTTCAATAAAAAATAGAAAATTGATTTCCCAAAAAAACAAAAAAAACAAATACAGTCATACCAGTCGTTTTCGAGCCCCTTTTTTAGTATCTTCTTCAATGGTTCCCACTATGACCTTTAGATACTTGATAGCTGGCAAGATGAGTAAATAAGAAGTCATGGTAGTTCATTTAATACATAGACTAAAATTAGAGGAAAACTGTAACCTACAAGGGATGCCAGAAACAGAAGTTAAATGCACTCTGAGAAGATTAACAGCTTCCTTGGGCTCAAAGTTACGCAAGTCAAGAGGTAAAACTTCATCATCTCTGCAACTGAAGTCAAACTTGTGACACCATTTTCTGAAGCAACAGACAGCAATTATGCAACAGAACTAAGAATTCAACATGCACCAACCTGGTTTCAAGAATCTTTTCAGCAGATCTTTCATCTGCCTCTCGGGCCTTTTTGTTAAAAAAATGAACCTAGACGTCCACCGAAAGAAAAAAAATAACAATTATATCTACTGGAAAGATATCATTGCTTTAAAAACCTGTTTAAGTTGGATACTCAGCAGACTTGCCTCAATAATGTAATAGGTGCTTGTATTTCACACATGCATTTTTAAATCAATCAAATTTTTTCATTAAACATGCAAATGAAAAATCGACTTCATTCACCAGACATGCAAAGGCACATGAACATCCTAATTTATAAGGGGGAAAGAAATTTTTCAAGGGCTGGTATGTATACAATTATAACACCTTCTCATTTTCAGTTGATTAAGTGTTGAACATGATATTAAAAGGAAAAGGCAAAGATCTAAATCATACTAGCTCCATGAGTTTGCTTGCTCGTGCCTTATCACCCTCAGCAAATGCCTCAATAGCCTGGAGTTAATCAAGACTGTTAGTACCAATCCGACATTCCAATTAAAAAGAGCATCCAACAGAAGTATAAAGTATCTACACTGTAATGCTGCAAAAAGTGCAGAACAAAGATGAATGCCAGGAAAAGCAAGTTCTTGAGATGCTACCAAACCAAAAACTTGCAAAACTTATTAGATGACCACAGCATATCTCTTTAGAATTAAAGCAACATAATGATCATCACCAATCTCACCAACTTTTGACTTGCTCTTCTACAAGTAGTTCTATGAATAGTTTGTACAAAATATTCATCAAGTACATCTCCCAAAATTTTTGCAGATTAAACAACTTACAGCTTTACAGTACTCCTTCATTGTGATCCAATACTCCTTCACAGCTTGACGTAACATATCATAGCTATTCTCATCGTCATCATGTCCATCTTCCACTGCAGAAGAAACCAAGCACAAGAGGGCTATGATACTAGAAAAAGTTGCCACAGAAAAAACAGAAAAGATAAACTTATGACATAAAATCAGACAATATAAAAAGTATAATTAGGCCGCAACTGTGAATGGTTTTTAACATCAAAGTTGGGTTCATATTATATCACAAATCATCTTGAAATACAAGAGTAGCTCTAGGCCATTAGATATGATGGATTGGTTCTCAGATGTATGTACGTCAATCATGCAGCCAAAAGAGTACCACTGTGTCACGGGGTCATTACCCTCTCCCATGAAAACCGGTAGTCACAGGTGTGCAGCACCCCGCTTCTTATAGCCCAGGACCTACCCGTTCCATGCCCGATGTGGGAGAGTGGACCTTTCCTCGTCACACCCTCACCCACCCGATTCGACAACGTCCCCGTTGTCGGGCGCACCGCTGCCGCCGGCCACCCTGCCTACCCCTCTCCGGCCTTTCCCGGACTCGGGCGCTTGGTGTGAGTCGGGACGAGGCAACAGGTCCGCTCTGATACCACTTTGTCACGGGGTCATTACCCTCTCCCATGAAAACCGGTTGTCACAGGTGTGCAGCACCCCGCTTCTTATAGCCCAGGACCTACCCGTTCTTGCCCGATGTGGGAGGAGTGGACCTTTCCTCGTCACAACTGCACATAGTCAGACCCAGTCTTTATGTTGTAAGGAAAACTAACAACAATTTGTGGGCAGATTATTTATGCTAATTCCAGAAATTTTGTATGCACAGTTTTGTTTTCTTATTCAGTACGTGAGTCTATAGCCAAATAACAAATGAAATTTGGTGACAGAATTGCAGCATTGCTAATTAGAACCAGTATCAATCAACTCCTAGTCATGGTAAGCCCACAAAGTGAATTCACTTATAACCTCCGAAATTTGAAACCATAACCCCTTTACTTTTTACTTTATTCATTGTTCATGAGAACCTTGGAGATAAAATAATCAACCTAACAAAAGCATAGTTTAAATTTTATACCATCTTTCGAAATTTTCTGCAGTTCCACAGCAGTAGTTGTAAGACTGGTATCTGTGTCCTTGAGAGGTTCGGTCACCAATTCACCAAATGCCCTTGATCTCCTCACCACCCTAACTAAATGAGTTCTTTTTGATGCTTCCTCAGATCTTTCAGGAACACTGAATAATGATTCTAAGATTTCTTTCTCCAGAGCGAGCCTATCTTTTTTTCTTCTTGGAGATCCTGTTGGATTTCTTATCATAGATGTAGCTTCTTCACTGCAAGGGGTGCAAAGAAGAATAGCATGGCTTAATAGTGATGAGAAATAAGAAAGAATCTATGGTAGCCTTTCCTAAAGAACACCTTTGTTTCAGCAAAATAAGATGTAGCAATGTCACTAATACAAAATGAAATTGGAAAACACACCTGTGAACAAATTCTTTGCATTGCGATTTGTCTTGGACTAAAACTAATTGGTCATCTGGACATTTCCCTGTAAACTGTTGCATGAATTATGATGAGAAATGAGTAAAAAAACAAGTAACTTGCTTACAGTTAATATTCCTGTAAACTGCAGGACTTAATGACATATAAGGCACACACATCATGTCAATATGAACAATTGTGCAATTAGACCATAAACAAGAAGAACCAGTAGAATTATCTGAATTTCAGAGTTCAATAGTATTTTTTACTGGATAATTTTTTAAAAAAGCCTATGTTTTACTAGATACTATAAAAAAATACTAGGTATTGACATGTGCTAAACTTGGGCTCACCTTCTCAGCAGCTATACCAATAACATCATCAGACTTTTCTAGAGTTGAAGCTGACAAGTCAAGCAGTTCGTCCATGCTCTACATGATCAATAAAATAAATTGATATCATTGACCTAGGTTAGGATGCTAAATTAATTAAATATCATATATCAACAGATAAAGGATAACATTAAAAAGAAGAAGATAAAAGGGATCAAGCATGATATACAACATACAGGCCGAATTGAGAAAACATTAAATGTTTTTCTCTTTCTTCAAAATGTCTTCAAAAGCAATCTATTTGTAGTTAAGTAGCTAATGAAGAAAATTATTTAGGGTATCCTATGATGACACAAGCTTGTTAATTTACATCAGGTGTCTAATTTTCAGTTGACTGTTGTGCCTATCATTAAGAACACATATCTACACTGGTACGTCAGAAATCAATAAAATGAAATCTTGCTTTTTTCCCTTTTCCATAATGAAAGAAGTTTCTCAAAGTCTTCATAAATAATTACATAAGGTAACTTATAAAGCACATTTTATGGTAATCTATCATTTCTAAACTGTATGAATGATGCAGACTTTTTTCTTTACTTCTTTTGTGCTTTATGAGCACAGCCAACATTGAGTGTTTAAGACATGATCATTACAAACTCTAGTCTCTTAGAAACAATACATGCAGAACTATGGTCCAAGGTAAACTCTAAATGTATTTGTCAATTACAAAAGAATACGTTCTTTAAAACAAGAGAAGATGAAAAAAACATCATGAGAGCTCTTCAAACTCAAAGGGTTTAAGCACTTCACCTTTTCCACATCATAACCACAACAATCTGCAAACCAAATGAAAGGCTGGATTAAGCATCTTATGAACTAAAATAAGCAGCTACAATAGCAAATATATAACTTTATAGTCACAATCTCATGTACATAAATAAAGAAAAAGTTTTTATCTTAAACTGACTGCATAAATTTGAAGCTAAAAACTAGCAATAACAAGGTGGAAAACTGAAAAAGTGAAGACCAGGTCATGAAGAGATGACATCCTAGCAAAGGTAAACGCAAGCAGTGAGGTAGAAAAGGCCTGGGATAAACTCACACAATCAGACATATAATAAAAGGAACAAATCACTGATGCACTGCAAGATCTGCAAGATATAATGAATGAAGAAAAAAACGCATGCCAAATAATAAAAAATTAGAAACAAAATTTCATGCCGAGGATAATATAAGTGATGAGCTAAAAATACTTGAGACAACAGAAATTCAAAATAACATAAGATACTCTCCTTTGTCTGTATTCATTCCACTTAATATAATTCATTTCATCATACGGTACTTATAATGTCAAAGCAGTTATACCAGGACAGAAAAATCTAACAAGATCCAACATGATATTTCATACACTTATACCTCCATTGAAAGATAATAAGCACACCTAGAAGCATATTTTCACTAAACTTTCAGATAGTATTGCAACTTGCATGACAGGAGCAGTAAATAACTCAAATGGCTAAAGGAAGGTAGCAGTGTTACCAAGTAGTCCTTCAATTACAGAGTTGTCAAGTTGAAAACCATCTTCTAGCATCTTGAACAGAAATTCCTTCAGATCACCATGTGTGGTGCCATTCCTTGTTGTTCTACTTGCAGGACCTTCTTCACTCCATATCACAGAGACGGGAAATTCCTTTGAATCTATTTTCACAGGTTTGGTAGTCACAGGAGAGTCCAATCTTGATGGCCCTGGTTTGACAAAGTTTTTTCCTATCACACCTGTAACACTGCCCATTGATACAGAAGATTTTTTCGACTTTAATGCACCAGTGCTGGGATTGCTGGATGTATATTCTGAAGACACTGCACTTACACTTTCCCATCCCGCTGACTTATTTTCAAATGTATTAGCCCTAGCACTCAAGGTCCTTCCATCATTTCTTGCACAAAGAATTTTGCCTGTAACATTGACATCCCCTTTTGACTCGTAATAAGCAGAAGCTATGTCCTCAAGAGAAAACTGAGAACCAAATACATCAAGCAGCTCTTTGAGAGCCTCTTCATCTGGCTTTGCAGCAAATAGAGCTCCTTTCATTTTTATATATCCTTCACAAAGGGGGGGAAAAGGAAAACATAAAAATTTTGATAAACAGCCAGGATATGGGAGGAAGACCAAAACAATGGAGTATAAATCAAGGTTAACAGATTTGTGGTGCACTAGGGTTTGAAGAATGGGTGCGGGAATGGGATGCGGCGCTTTAATCAGTATGGGGTATGAGTGGTAGGCTTTATAGGACTGTTATTTAGGGTTCTGAAACATAAAGAAACATTCACTCAGATGATTTAAGAGACATACGTACAAAACTATATAAACATAGTATGTTAATTCGAAGAAAATAACGGTTCAGAAAGAATTACTCAAAAAGAGAGAAGAAAATGGCTAATTTGGCTGATGAGCTAAACTCAATAAAAGTAATGATACACTTTCCAGATTTGCAACCCCTTCTCAAGATTTGAAATCCACAATATTCCTTTACTGTCTGATTTGTTTTATTGAATGAAAATCATAAAAAAAAAAAACTTAATGTAGCAGACAATTGAACCTTAAGAGTTTGAAAGTTGAAACAACAGCTCATCTCTTTCCACGTTGTGGACTGCGTATGCACCACAATTGGGGTCGCATGATCCAGGATGCAATTCAAAAAGGGGTCTAGCAAATTAGGTAGCTATGTTATAAGTTACAAACAATAAACAATATACAAATTTCTTTGATTATTAATTTATTTATGGCTCTAGAGAGATTCAAATGACATTCATTTCAAGCATCAACCCACCAGTAATCAGGAAATAACCAAAAACCATTCTAAGAATATCATTTCTGTTTGGCATTGCGATTGGAATTGCGTTTGATTGCAGTTGCTGAATTTAATCCTTAAAAGCAATGCCAAACCATATTTTATAGCAATCGCCAATCAGAATGTCAAACTTTGCCATGAAATAATGTAAAATTGTTTGCAAGAAAATATGTTCAAATCAAAATTCATTCTTTTCCTTTACCTCTGTCTTCTTACTAAAACAGCAAGTCTTAGACATGAAAAATCAAAACAAAATGTAACTTTCAAAATGTAATGTTCTTTATATGATACCCCAGAAAACATATTAATCATAAACGATAACACAAAAAGAAAACCAAGGAAATTACTTTTATTTTCTGTCAATTTTCTTTCCATTTTCTCAGTAACCAAACAGATGACCAAAGAACACAACAAATCCAACTATCATGCAAAAGAAATGACTACAAAAACCCGCTTACAGAAACAATGCGTGACATTAAAATGACACAAAGAAACGTAAAAGATCAAAAGAGTTTCACTTTCTTTCTGCTTTTCATCGTCCACCGGTTTCTCAGCAACCAAACAGATGATCGAAACTCACAATGCAAGGAAGAGATTAATCAAGTTCTTCTAAGTCATTTAATGAAGGATCGAGAGATTAATCATTACTACGATTAAGTAAATGAAATGCATGCAAGAAAAGAGAACTCAAAGAGGCATTGGCTTACTTGAAAGGAGTTTCCTTATTAGCTTTTCCTTCCCCAGGTTAAGCTGTGAAGGGGGATATTTATGTCGTTTGAATGCTGTCGTCATTAAATAAATAAAATAATTCAGAGAAAAAATGCAAAACCATTGCGGTTGCCGTCTGTCTTGTCAGGTGAGAGATAGGGTTACCACGCGATGTTAAAGAGCGTTGCGAACACGCTCCATAAACCCTGTTTCGGCCCCTTTCACTCGCTGTAAAGCCCTAAAGCAACACCCAAAAGCAAAATTCCACACCTTTAGCAAAAAAATCTTGCATTTTCCAGCTTAGCTTCTTCAAAGGTAATCTCTTTTCTTTCTCTCTTTATTTACATTAATTTATATTTTTCCTGGGTGTTTTTTTTCGTGGTAGCTTATAATTGTTTAGTTTAACTGGTCAGATACTTGAATTCTGCTTTGTGTTTTTGAAACTTGGATTTTGGGTTTTGGTTAATTTTCTACTCTGATATTTCTAGCTAAAAACGCTTTGGTTTTTAATGTATTGAAACTGTAGTTATAAGTTCATATCTTTGCACTTCCATTTCCAAGAAAGGGGAAGAAATGAGTATCATTGAAATGCAGTCAGTTCCTGAAAGCAGAATTTAATATTTGAAAGAAAAAAAAAGAGCAGTGAATGTTGTTAGATTGTAACCATGTAGACCCAGGAAAGCTTAGGTGCTTGACTTGAAAGGCATTTTCTTTTTGCGGGTTTTTTGTTTTGTATATGGAACCACAGTAGTTTAGAATATGGAGCTCTAAGATCTGGTTTCCTTTCATTTTTATCGGTTTCCTCAAAGTGCTCATGAATGTTGATTGGTATTCCAGCTAGTTGTGAAAGCTGTAGATGCTTTGTTCTTTGTTTTGTTAAAGTTGACAAAAGCACTCGGTTGCTTTTATACGTGCTGGTACTCGTTAGACTCAATATACAAGTTTGAATCCAAACATGTTGCTTTTAAAACCTAATACCATCTTTCTGATTTGAGTTAGTTTCTGGAGCCGGTAACATATGAAGAAACAATCCACATTACATTTGTTCAGTGCTAAATTTGTTGAGCTAAGAATTAGATTTAACTGATTTGTCAAATCTTATCAGAAACATAACTCCTTCTTGTGGCTTACTTCAATTTCAAACCCCTTTTGAACCGTTAAAATGGTCTCTCCTGGCTTTGAGAGGGATTTTATGGAATTTCTCACTGCTAGTGCACCGTATATTTTTGCCTCTTTTGCATGAGTTATCAGATTTTTCTAATGTTTCACAGGCATAGTTCATTGATGATATAATGAACATTACTCTATGCAGACTCTAAGTGCAACTATCTTATTGATAGTAGCTTTGGTTAAGTGAAATTAGTATAAATTTAAAGTTCATATGGCCTCTTCCATTTTGAGCATAGAAATGAGTGCATACTGTGTCATTAAATATATATAAAAGCTCCATGTATCAAAAGAAATATTAAATTTGAGCTCTGACCATCTCATCTTGCAAAATAGATTTCAAATCTAACAAGCTTGGTCACCTATTTTATCTTATTATGCAAATAAAGGCCATATGTCAAGTGGTATCACTTATCATGCAATTAAAAAGGCCTCGTATCAAATGATTCAGCAACTCAAGTGGTAATAGTTACTGATTTTCTTTGAGAGCACAAATCGTGATAGCAGAAGAACTTGGTAGAAAAAGAGACTACATGAAGAGTTTAACCATAAAGTTAAAACCAAGTGTATTTTATTGCCCCTCTGAATCTTCACTTTGGATTTGACTTTGTTAGCAATAATATTTGGTAGCTAGATTGATTTCATACTAAGTAGTTTAATGGGTATTTGCAGCTATGGGAACCAGAGGAGTTATTGGAGAAAAGTGGTCTATGAGGATTCTCTGGGTTTGTGCTATTGGAAGTGCAATCGGTATGCAATGTAGACCTTTGATATTGGGTTTATTGCATGACATAATTTATATGATTGCTGAACCACTATTTACTGAATTCTTCAGACTCTTGAATCATAGACGTTATTTTTCTTCCCTGGCTTATTCTGATAGTTCACAACCATTACATGTGTAGGCCTGTATATGGTTGCTGTGGAAAGACAAAAACAGAACAGAGACAAAATGATGGCTGAAAGTTTAAAGGACATTGAATCAGAAGGAAGCGGCGAGCAAGTTTGAATGTTGACATGCTTAGATGTTCATAAATTACTTTGTAACACAAACTTGTTAAAGAGCTTCCGCAACATTTTCTATGGGGTTATCCCTTTTGTGTAGAAGGTTTCTGATGTTTGGAATGGAGGGATTCTTTCTCCTATGGTAATAATTTGTTTGTTCTCGAGTTTAAACAGATGAAAATGTTCTGAAACCGATGATGAATGTCTGCTTGGAATATGAACGAGAAATGATCACCTGCGAAATGAGCATATTTCCTAGTCTGACCCCTTTGGGCATGTTCGTAACACCCCCCGCCTTGCATGAATTGTTTTCCTCCTAGAGGCGAAAGGACAAGGCTAGTTAAATGTTTATAGCATTTAAGCAAGCTGTTGATTGTTTGAGATGAAGACTAAGTCGCCATATTTAGATGGAACCTGACTACAGATTCAACCGGGACCTCTTCAGATTTCACAACAATATGGTTAGAATGCAAAACCACCTTGATTCTTACGTTCAAGTGTGTAAGCAAAATGAAAGGAATCGGGTTTTATGAATGATGGAGATTTGACCCTGTGGTCTAAGTCTAACTATCGAATCAAAGCTGCAAAAATGGAGCAGGTTTTCATCCTCTTCCCTGTCCCCCACGTCCAGAATATAACATCGAGCTTGTCCTGTTCATATGCAGAGTCCGTCTACACCCTACAGACTTTTCTTCCTCGAAAACATGGAGAGCAACAGAAAAGGAGACATAAAAACAATTGAAGAACTCAGAATTACTACATAAATCTCCCATAATCACTGTGTCCAAGATTCAAATTAGTACTGATAAAATCAAGAGGAAGTTTCACATTCAAATCACCCACTCACCAAACTATTAATGAAAATCTCAGAGCATTATTTAGGGCCACAGTTAAGTATCTCATGATCCTGATAACAAGTGATGCATTAAATTCAGGAGCTGATGAGGAGGCTTCAGCTGCATGAAAGGGTGTTTTCTTAACATTGGTTCTTCACTTCCTTTTTGCTTCCTTCTATCCTGCTTGTTGAATGGTGAGGGATAAGTTTTGCAGGAAAGGCACGTAAATCGCTGCTCATGCAAGGTCCATGAACCCGGATTCGAAGAACAAACTCCCCGAAGGCAGTTAGCAATTTTTGCATGCACTTCTGCTTCTTCTCTTTTCCATTGGGCATTTTTACTCTATAAAAGTTAATGATTAGCCTTCATTTTGGAGCACGGGAAAGACCAAAAAGCTTGCAAAATGGCCTCAACACTAAAGTCTGCATGCATAGTTCTGTCTGTCTTTTTGTCCTTAAGCTTCAGTTTGGCTCATAGGTTCCTCTTGGATCACTCCACTGATGACTACAAAAATGTGGACACTCTTCACCACGGAGCAGTGACAAATCCTAATGTGGAAGGACTTGGCGTTGGCTATGGCGGTGGAAGTGGATCAAAGGGAGGCTCTGGTGCAGGAAGTGGAAGTGGGAATGGGTATGGTTCGCACGGAGTTGGAGCTGCAAGTGGGTCAGGAGGTGGATCAAGTGGAATTGGATCCGGATCCGGGACAGGTGTTGGAATTGAGGGAACTGGATACGGGTCTGGTGATGGGGTTGGTACAGGAATTGACATTGGGATACCCTGTGATCCATGCTGTGATCCAAGATGTAATAATGGGACTGTAAAGTGTCCACATGTAATATATCCTCGCTGCGGCCATAAAATACCAAAAAGATCCAAAAATGGAGCTGCCAAAGAGACACAAGAGGCTATCAACATAGTTAGTGAGCCCTATCCACAAGATGTAGCCAATAGTAGTAAGCCATGAATGAGTAGAACTGATCTGTCTTGTCTAATAAGAATCACGAGCTTCAGATGAAGTTCAGAATAAATATTTCATTTTCTTTCTCTATTTTGCTCTTGATGTTTGAAAGGTCTACAATATAACCCAGCTGGCTCAATAGAATAAGAATAATTCAAACTCAAATAATTTTTTATAACTTTTTTTCCAACATATTAACGCCTTTTATTCTTATTTTGATCTATGTAGGCATCTAACTTTTACACCATGTCATTGGAGGAAGAAAGGATAAAACATAGTGGTAACCGGGAACTTTTAGACCATTTTCCTTCCACGTTCTTTCCTTCTTTCTCTCCTGCCAAACATAGTAACATATATTCATGTCTTTGGGATGTACGGAAATACAGTGCAAGCTCATTCCAATATATTATCTATGCAAATTGACAATCAGAAAGTGAGATAATCAATTACAATAAACCCCACGTATTGGTTTCCTTGTTTTATAAATTTGCAGCTACAACTTACAACATGGTACAATCTGTACACCTACGAGTCTTTTGAACAGAGGGGAATGTGAAGAAATTGCGTGCTTGTAAGGAATATAATTCAAGCACTTTCCATATAATTTCCTCATACATTTTAAGAACCATGCAAAGCCTAAATCAGTAATAGTATACACTTTGTTAGTCTTTTTCCGTATACCTACAAGCAATACTACACAATTGCTGTACTTGTGTCATTCTCTTCTAGCAGGCATAGAAGATGATCTTTGGAAATCTTCCTTCTGAAGACTAGACATAGTCGATGAAGAAATAGTAGCAGACGGTCTAAGTAGAGGTGTACCAACCCTACTCGAAGTTTCATTAGCAACTGGGGAAGGACTGGCTGTGATATTAGCTGGTGGTTGCAACTCTATCTCAGTGTATGTACTATTGCCAGCTTCATTAATATCAATGAATTGGTGATCTTCTTCCTCAAGTGACATTACCGTGCTTGTGTCTGTATGTATGGTTGAATCATCAGGGAAAAGCCCATGCCTCCTCTTTCTCCTTGCTGCCTTACCCCATCCGTGGATTGTCTCCCTTATCCTTTGTGGAATTAGTGCTGCCTTGTAGTTTGTTCCCATCTGAAAGGAGTGAAACTTATAGTAAGTGCTGCCAGAAACCATTTCTAATGAATTCAGACACAAGCACCTCTTGCTAATAGTTTTGTCCACTGAAACAATGCGCTTTGCACATCAAGGTAAATAATATTACCATAAAATTTAGTATAAGAGTCTACTTTAAGGAGTTACTTGACAGCTGACTGATCAAAGTTCTAAGGGAAAAGCCTGACTTTGCCCTATGAAAGCTTCTCTAACAGCTTCCTAAGAAAAGGGAAAAAAATTTAATTCAGAATGCTCAAGAATTTGGACAACATAAATTTTCTCCTTCAAGTGATAAACTCTGAGGTTATGGAATTATTTGAAACTGGCAGTACCTCAGTTGCAATGGTTGCAATTAATAACAGCATCCATTTGGGCAAAAGTATCAGAAAGTATGGCATAGGATTAAAGCCAATTGCTTGAAAACATATACATACAAAAAAGAAGACAAAGAAAAGAAGGGGGGGGGGGGGAAGTAACATTCAACCAACACTCCAATAGCATATGTAGCTCCACCCCTGAACACAAGCATATGTTCAACAGCAATTATTTATGGTTAAGGTCACAATGTTAAATTCATGGCTGAAGTTTGAAGAATCATCAGACCTGCATATGCTACTAATCATGAATTACAGTAGACAGCACAACTTTTTCAGCAACTAATCCTCTACATACCAGTAATTTCTTGGTCATGCTGCAATTTGGTTCTATTACTTTTCCCCAAGAGAAAGAGATGTTAATAAATAATTATATTACCTGAGTAACCAGGGCATAGAGTGGCAGAGTGATGTAGCTACAGATAAACTGCCCAGCAAACCTATGAGATAAGGACAAATACTTAAAGACCCATAATTGATGAAATTTGCATAATAATATCAAGACTAACTAAAATGTATTCATACCCCAAAATAAGTCGTATATAAACAAGCGTATGGTTCCGGATGAAGCATGAATTATAGCCAAACTGCCACTGCAAAGATATTAACAGACAGTTATTAACATACCAAACTCAGACATCCCTGCCTATAAACTCAAAGTTTGTTTTTAATATTTATATTTCCTCTTCAACTTCCTGTTTTATTGAGGGCTTTTCATACATGTTCAAAGACTGTGAAATCACAATGAGTACACAACCAATGTCAAAAAAATAGAGCACAGAAGCCCAGGAGAATGACAGAAATGAAGTTTGAAGACAATTTTAGATTGCTTAATGTTCAACTTAAAATCATCCTCAGCAGTGTTATTAGATAACAATCCAGTGAAAAAAGAGGAAGTACCCAGAACCAAAAAAATGAAGCCAGTTCAAATGCATTCTGCAGAGAAATGAGACAAGAACATTAGTTCTATGAAAAAGGAAGTTGTAAATAACTTTTCTTCTTATGGCAGGCAGTTAAGACTCTGAAATGTACAAAAATCTTTAATTTGACTGCATTGCCCTAAACAACAACCTGGAACAGAATAAAATGGATAAGGGACAACAACCATTCTGGCTTGTTAAACCAGAAAAGTTCATCTCGAGGCCTCAGCTTTGCTCCAGTATAAAAGCTAGTTATGCTAGCATTCTCCAGTGCCAAGGTTGCGATGACATGCTGTAGCTTTGCACCCACAAGAAGAACAAGCTGCATATGAAGTTATGAACATTATCAGATTAATATGAAATATTAGGAGGTCATCTAACAAAATGTATACAAAGGAATATTCCTAAAAATCACAATAGCTACATTTTCTATCCGTACAACACTAGTTGGCTCTTCAAGTGATCATTTGTCCGTGTATATGCAAGCACCCTTAGATGTTCTAGTCAAGGGTATCCATCATAGTGGTGAACACCAAGGTAATACAAAGCAAGGCAAGGGCAACAGACTTACAGTAATCGGAATGATCGCTATCCAGAAATACAGATTAGACCCTGTAAGAAGGAAAAAGGCCTATGAATCACAAATCCAGTGAGTTGGCAAAACTGCCTTAATATGATAACACTCTGTTCAAATAGGCAACAAGATGAGCACTGTCATTCCTACGTAGTCTGTTGTGCTCTAAACAACCAGCAAAAAACCTCACTTGAGGGTAACAACCATGAAATGCATATTCATGGTAAAAGTAGAGCCGAGTAGCACAAACATAATAATTCAATTTCAATTCACATTAAATACACATACCTTTCACGTTGAACAGCATGAAGGCAACAACAAATCCCCAAAGTGGACCACTGCAGGAGATTAAACAAACTGAACTTTAGCAATCCCAAAATCAACCCAGCCATGATATCCACAAAGACACCCAAGAAGTAATCACCCAAATAAAGTATAAACCAATTCACAGTACAATTCCAGTGAATTATGATTACCACACCACAGAGAGAGCAAAAAAACAAATGATAAGGGTGAGGAGGCAGATAGAATTCGTACTGCAGTGCTGCTCATTTAATGTTATTGATGCATTTCATGGTTAAAATGAAATGAGTTATTACATTAAACTTTCTGATAGAATCCCCCTTCCCCAATTAAAAAAAAAACCCTTTCAGATAATGCAAAATCAAAGGGCTTGATACACATCTTGTCCATTAAGACAAGATTGCCTTCAAGATTTTACTCTACAGGATACATCCAGTTTTAGGTCATAATCCAACCATATCAGTTATTAGCAGCTAGCCTGGGCCTAAGAAGAAATTTATAGACATGTGCTATTGAGTTTATACTTAATATTGCTATAAAGAGGTTTAACTACCAACTTTCTTGCTTTTTTTTTCATGCATAATGCACACACACAATGGCAGAAATAGATACCCGCATGAATGTTAGATGTGTATATTTCAGAGAGACAACCTGTATGAGAAATATTTCAGTCCTTTTTATCTTAAATTAGCTCTACATGGAATAAATACTTGACAAGAGTAAGCAATCATGCAAATGATGTAATTAGTAAATTTCAGTTGCCGAACAGCTTAGATAAATAAATGTTCATAATTCAATCATACTAAAATCATATGCCATTATGGTTGATACATGACCCCATGAATCCATCAATAGAGAAGACAAGATAACATTATATGAATGATGTGCTAGCAATAACAAACTTCTGCGGCAATTTGACAGAGAACATGATCAGAAAATATCGTATGAAAACATTACTTGCCTAACACCAACTATCTTTTGAAATTCTTCCTCCATAGAGCGAATCATATAGCTATGAAAATCGTACTTTGATGTCAGGTTGTGATTCTGCCATGAATAGGAAAACAAAAGGCATAAATATTCATATGCTGTAATTGTTTCAATACCAACCAAAAGTTTAGCATCAAGAGGTATTCACATCTAAATTTTCCTCAGCATACAAGAAGAAAAAGAAATGGAAGAACAAAAGGAACCAAGTTTTTCAGTATGGTAAATGTTAATAATGAGATAGAAGCACAAAACCAATAAGTACCCATTACCCTTCATCATGCCAGTCAAAGAGAAAAGCAAACAAATACAATAGTAATAACAGTAAACATGTTTTAAAAAGTAATGGCAGTATTATTTCTTGGTCCACAAGTAGGGGTATTTTTGTGCTCGTGCTCAAGCTGAGCTGATACAGTGCCTGGCTCAAGCTCAGCCGGGCTTTATATTTTTGTGCTCAAGCTCAGCTCAAAAAATAATCAAGTTACTTGAGCTCAAACTCAAGCTCGAGCTTGCCTTCCAAATAAAAACTCAAATAAAACTTAAAAACATGTAAATAAATATTATATTTTATATACATATGTATATATATTAAAAAATCAAAAGCTTAAGGCTTGCAAGCCACTCAAGTCAAGTATTACAAAACTTGAACTTGGCTCGACTCGTTACTTGAGTAGGTCGAGTTCAAGCTTGAGCTCTGCACAACAGTGAATGAGTCGAATTTGAGTCTTGATCAAGTCAAGCTAGACTAGCTCACAAGTTGCTTAACTCATTTACACCCCAATCCACTAGCACCCCCTGTCCAGATTTATAGCAACAAAGACAAGAACATCCATAAGAGATGACCAACTTTTGGGTGTACATTTAAATTTTTTATATAGTAAAATATTTGAATTTTCAGGACAATAAGATTTGCAGACTAGCACAAATGCTATGCAATTATTGATGGCACATATGAATTAATTTTAGTTTATCTTCTAAATTAATGCCAGAGTTAAATCGAAATCTTATCATGGACAAAGAATGAATTGTCATTACATCAAAAAACTCAAGGAATTTTCTGTCAGAAAAACAATCCCTTGAATCTAATAGGAATACAGAATACTTCATAAATAAGATTACCAATAACACATACCGTTATGAAGCCCTTGCGGAGTGTCAGATAGTCTGCACGAACCACTGAACGCCCAAATTGCCGGAAGAAACATATCTGCAAATTGAAAATAAGAATTTATAACAGAAAAGTTTTTCTTTTTTAAGTGCAGCTGAAGTTTTAAAGAAATAATGCCTTTCCAAAACCTTTATTAAAACGTTCTTCATAATCAAACTGAAGGAAAAAAAGGGGAGGAACTGCTTATTCAAAGGACACAGGGGAACTTTAAAAGAAGACGAAGAAATGGGGAAGAAAACTTAAAACTATTTTATCATGCTTAAAGCAATTTAATAATGTGATCGAATTCCAGTTGCGGTAAGAATGAATTCTACACTAGGGAAAATCTCTGTCAGACTCCCTCCATGTACACTATATGTTCTTTCTTTTTCCATGATAAGTAATAGTTTCATTAGAGAAGAATGCCACCAAAAAAAAAGTGGCAAACCCAAGTGCATGAGTAGCAGCAAAGAATTGCAGGATTATTATGCAAATTATAAGAAATAAAAATGCATCACAATCTAATAGAGCAACAACTCTCATTGTAAAGAAAGCAAGAAGAAAATGTACTCTACCTACCACCCAGATAAAGAGACTATTTTTGGTCAAGGGGTTTGATGTGTGGTTTATGACAAATGTTGTTTGCCTTCTCAGTATCGACTCTCGTGCTTTTTCTGTCAAAAGTAAACTGAAATCATCATTTAATATCTAAAAAGGATTAGTAAAAACTTTTACATGACTTAGAGCACAATTGATCACACACATCAAGAAATCAAACTAATCAGTAAAGCACATAATCAGGAATTTAATAAACATGCTACTGTATAGTTACTGCATAAGTTCTCCATCAGAAAACATTAATCAACACAAATGAACAGAGACAACTATTATCTGAAACTACCAATAGTAGACTGTTTGAACTTACCATTTAGTAAATCATGTCGATCCATTTGAGCTTCATCCTCCCATGCTCTCCAACTATGAATCTACCAAATAGTTACAATTCAAAATGTAAGCAAATAACAGCAACATAGTTCCAACTTCATGCCTTCATCAGAAGGAAAACATTTCTCAAATATACCTAGTTCAGACTTTACAGTTTTTTACAGCAATAAATCATTCTCATCTGTGCAATAGACTGCACAAGATTGTTTACCAGCCATATTAATATTGCATAATTCTCTTGTCCTTCAGTGTTCTCATTTGTTGGAATCATTAACCATGGCTTTAGGTAATCACCTTCTACTGTTATCAACAGACCAATAAGAATATCACAAACTCAACCCCGGGGAGTATCATTGGCCATATTTGCATGATAGTGCCCTAAAGACAAAAAAAATGAAGAGACAGCTTGTCTCCGATCAATTGCCTAAACATACTTTACATAACAATCCTAGTATGTATAATCCTTGTCAAATATTGCATTTGATCAGCTACTTGGAATAAAAAATTTTGCATTGTTAAATGCAAAATATTTTTGCTAGGAAGAAGAATGTCATGTACCCAAAGAACCTATGATTACTACAACAGCCAGACAACAAGAACAATATTTGTAAACTTTAAGTTGGAGTTACTTTATTACAATAAAAGGCCCAACCTTCACAATTGCCAGCAACATTGTTAAGCAACTGTAAGATACATGTGTGATTGCCATGACAAAGATGAAGCGATGCAACTGCTCAAGACCTTCATAAGAGACAAATGGTTCATGACCCTGCAGAACAGAATAATTTCAAGCTGGAACATTCTGTAAGTATTAAGTACTTATATGTTTAATTAAATATTTAGTGGATATGATTATAGCCAAAGGAAAAATGAACAAATTAAACTGAAAATAGCAGAATCTGCAGTCAAGATATGGATTAGTCACATGCCTCTTTGCAGGTATTCTGATTCATGCCATTCAACATTCTCCTGAATAAGTGAAAACCAGAAGCCATCATAAGCTTACGCTCCTTCGAAGAACCATCCTCAAGTTCTTCATCAATCTCAGACTTGGTGCATGGAGCAAAGGTGCTATCATAGAACTTTGATGGAATGCAAATATTGGCTATTGTGCTAGAGGTTGCTGTTAGAAGGAGCGATATGAATCCAAGCAGCATTAACTCTGTAAAAGGAAGTCCAAAAGTACACAATAAAGCAATCGTAAATATGACATACAAAAAGAAAGGTAATAGAAGTTTGTTTAAGAAAAATTCTTAGTCCACACCAAATCAGAAAATACACATGTTTCACTAGGCTGCAGGTAGAAATATATAGAAATACCTTCTTTCATCTTCTCCACAGCTGCAAGCAGAGGTTTTCGATTGGTTTTCCTTAACCACTGAAACAAAGCAATAGAAAATTCATAAGGTGTTAACAAAAGTAATAAACATGATTTAAAAACAAAAATAGCAAATCAAATGTATCTGTCAACAAAAGTTACAAGAAAAGAAATATCCAAAGGTACAAGATAGACACCACAAACACATCGCTTTTGCAGTGAACTGGGCAGCAAATCAAAGAAACTACTACAGGGCTTTGTCCATTAATAACAAATTCACCACTTAAAGGCCGATTATCAGCTACCAGCAACACAATTAGTCATAAATGAATAAATTAACAATTTTGAACCAAACAGAATTGCGTTGACGAAAATAACTATTAGTAGATATAAACATATCATTATCTTTTGAATATCTTTCTCAAATAGTCATAATCGCATACTACATCTCTTTTAACAAAAGCAACAAACATGATTTAAAAACAAAACAAAAATTGGAAGTTAAGAACCAGCTACTCACATGGCTTAGGTGGTGAATTGAGCGCTCCACAATCAAAGAAACAGCAACAAAGATTGTTAAAACAGTAGCAACAGACCATGTTGGCGTTAATGCCAGTGATCTCATTTCTTTATCATTCTCCACACTTTCCGCCATTTTTAAAAACTCTATTCACAACCCGCTGAAACCTTTCTTTCAAACTTTAATCCCCGACACAAAAATCTCTCAAACACTACAACAACTCCCTCTTAAACTACACTAATCCTACATAACAATAAACACGAAAGACCAACAAACTATGATCTTCGACTTCAAGAACAAGACACAAAATTTTCCTGTCTTAAAAACTTATCCCCCCAAATCTTCGAAAACATCTACTGCAATACTCCTCTAACACTAAACTAATCTCACGTAACATTAACATGAAACCAACAAACTATGATCTTTTAACTTCAAGAACAAGACAAAATTTTCCAAGTCTTCAAACTTATACCACCAAATCTTCAACCCTTTCAGCTCGCTCTTAAACTACAGCATATGAACACTTCAATCAAGAACTAGGATAAAAGCCAAAAAAAAAGAAAAGGTACTTGTCATTTGAACTTAAACCAACAATAACAAACTAAACAGAAAAAAAAAATCCTGTTTCAAGTTTTCAGACAAAACCCAAGTTTTAGCATAAATCAAGGCAAGAGCTTCTCAGTTGTGCGTGAGTGTTGAGTCCGAGGAAACGCCAAACACGCGGTGTTAGGTGGCGTTTCCTTAGCTTTTTCTTTTATGAAATCATAAAGCCTGATCCAGGACATACACGCTGAATCATTAAAACTACCCTTACAAACCAAGAAAACCAAAACCTTTAAGAGACAGTACAGAGAGCGTTGATATTCAACTGTTTTTTGCGTGTCGAAACATTCAAAGCGTCTTCTCTGTCTGAACTCTGAACTCTCTTTCTGCAATGAATGTTCAATATTTGCTCTTTTCCTTAGACCAAAAAGGAAAAGGGAAAGAAAGAATGGAAGAGAAAATGGAAGCAAAAGACAGAGGAACCGAATCTTGAAGAACCCACGTTCACAGTTACATCAGATCTCTTTTTCCAGCAAAAAAAATAACAGCTTTTCAATGCGTTTGACAATCCCAAAGTGGAAAACGGAAGTGAGAACAAACAAAAGATTGGTTCTTTAATTATTTTGGGAAATAAAAATGGTGAAGTAGGTGTCAATGCTGAACTGCTGATGCAAATGGACCTACACCAGGAGAGATCTCGCTGTTCACTTCTCCTTTGTTATTGCTTCCATTTCTTTAAATTAAGGAACAAAAAAAAAAAAGCAAACTTTTTAGGATTTTTGCATGCAAATAGACGGAGAGGGATTCTATGAAGTTTCTGGTGCTGATCTTTCTCCAGAGAAAATGTGAATACCTTGTGCGGCGTCGTTTTGGAGCTTGAATGAATCCATGAGCTGTCCTTTTTCTCTTTTTTTATTTTATTTTTTAAAATTAACTAAATTATTATTAGCTGCCAGCCTTCTATTCCTATTTGGCCCCAGCTTAGACGCTCAAAGGAATCTATGGATCTACTCCTAACAATAACTTAATGAATCTAATCCAATAATATTCACAATATTTTACATCGGCTTTTATAGGCCAAAATTTATGAAATCCTTTTACTAAAAATAATTAAAATAATACCCTACATATATTACATAATTTCATTTTATTTATATTTATGACGTCATGCCGGCAAATCTAAAAAGAAGTTTCAAAAAACCGACAAAAACATAGTCGGAACGTGATTTGCCCATCTTCGTGTCTTAACACTGTTTAACTTATTATTAGTAAGTCAACATTATTGTGATAACAAAATCAAGCTGAAAGCGAGAGCTCCACCACAATTTTCCATACGGGCATCAAGTAGGAACCATCGGTTATTTAATTATGTTATTTTCTCCTAGGGGTCCACTCACATGCCAATGACAACTATACTACTCCTACTCCTACTTTAATTAATAAAAAGATAATTACTTTTTTGAAAAAAGTGTTGACCATCAATTTCAATTATGACTGTGATGATAATAATAATGATATTTTTATGAGTTTTCATTATGTTTAAAAGAAAACAGATGAATAAAAAAAAATTTTATGATAATTATCATGTCGTTGTAAGTTTGTATAGACTCATGAGTCATGAAAAATTAGTAACTCAATAAGCAGTTCGTGAATAAATTTTTTTAATTATTAAAAATTAAGTTTTGAATGCCTCATATAATTAATGAATATTCATATTTTTAAACTTATAAAAATGTTAGAGAATGGAATTTTTATAAGATTTTTATAATTTGAGTGAGGGTGGAAATATTTTTTTACAAGATATTCAAACAATGAAAAATATTTTTAACAATTTATTTAAAAAACAAAAAATACTATTAAATATTTTATATAAAAAAAATTTCACAATAATTTTTTTTTTATATTTGAAAAAAAAAGTTCAAGTCTTACTCATTTTGAGATGAAAATAATACATTAATTAATGACTCAAATGATGGAATGTTATAATAAATTATTTTATAATTATCAAATAGATTCTAAAATATAAATAAATCCATTCAAAAAAAAAAACATGAAAAATCATTGACGAACTCACCACGGCAATATTAGTGACCTATAGCAACCCATTAGGACCTATCTTGATCCACTAAAAGTCCATTAGAAAATTGTTAGTCCACTAGAAACCGATCAGGCAAGGCTGCGCCGTTTACAAAAGATGAATTCGGCCCATTCCTAGATTTGCTAAGTGCCACTTCTTAATCATATTATTGCCAACGAGTTGGGCCCACCAAATCTTTGTCTGAAACAAGACAAAGCCAACCTCGTATCAGCTGTCAGTCAGGAACAATCAGCGCGCTCTACCCTTTTCTTTTTGTTTTGCGGCGCCCTGACAGCCTCATCAACATGTCTTCCGACGCCTTTCGAAGCCCCCGTAAGGGCATAACCAAAGATGAAGACGGAAACTCTACAGGCTTAAACTGCAACATATCTTTGTTGAAGACGCCATCGGCTTCTTTCAACACGGAATCTGTAGCCTCTGTTAAAAATCTAATTGCTAGTTAGCTTGACAAATCTTGTACGTGAAGTTCATTCTTTTGTGCCCCCAAAAAGAGCTTACAATCTCGTGGTAGTAAATTCACTCCTCGATTTAAGCGAAGGAAATGAGGAATCGCAGTTATGAATGATCTTTTCTTGTTGCTGATAACAAGGTTTTGATTATGCACAGAATGATATAGAGACAACGAAATTAGTTTGTTGATTCATTTATCACACTAATTAACACTCATGTTGAGGGGAAAGATGGGCTCATCATGCATTATTATTATTATTATTATTCAAGCTGACAAGATTAGGTGGCTCTTGATTTTACGTAAATGCAGCAGAAAACAAGATAAGTCCACAACTTGTAAATGATGAGATTGTATTGAATTTGTATATGTTAACTGTATGGAGCTTCAGTTTAGTTCACCAATTTTTCTATCCATGGAATAAATACAACACTACTATTTATAATTGATTGCATGTTTGATTTCTGAAACATTTCTCAACTAGCATTGGCTCTAAAAGCACATGCCCCAAACATCAAGTGGGATTGGAGTCATTACTGATGGTTTGGAGCATAATAGGTTTAATGAAACATACCACCCTCTATCGAGCCTCTAACAATGATAGACTTATTTCGTTTCTAGAAGATGATCCATGGTTACCGGATGAAGAATCTGCTTCAAAGGGACTCTTGTGAAACAAAAAACCAGGTTGTTTGGGCAGAGGCAACTCATTCTCACTTCCCAACATCAGAACCACGGATGACATGCTTGGCCTCTCCTCAGGATGCTGTTGTACACATAAAAGGCTACTGTGGATGCATCGTAACACCTGTGAGACTGCCAGTCTCTGCTAAGAAATCATCGGCAAGATCCAAAGGCCTGCCTTCTTTCCATAATCTCCATGCCTGCAGCAAAATGAAATTCTTTTATCATTAATCAGTTCAAGATATGCAATAAAATATAATGACAATGCGGCTTACATGTTCAATAAGGTTGCCTCTTTGCTTTTGATGATAAAATCTCTTATCTTTCTTCCGCTTATCATCTCCAACAACAATATGCCAAAGCTAAACACGTCTGATTTTACCGAAAACAGCCCATCGATAGCATATTCTGGTGCCATATAACCACTGTAGAACATTGTCAGATAAGAGTTTCAGGCGGATTTATAGATCAAATTTGCAGAAAAAGTAGACTTACTAAGTTCCAACCACTCTGTTGGTATTGGCTTCGGTCTGGTCTCCTCCAAAAGTTCTTGCCGTGCCAAAATCTGAAATTTTTGGGTTCATCTCACTATCAAGCAAAACATTACTAGCTTTTAGATCTCTATGAATAATCCTCAATCTGGAATCTTGATGAAGGTAGAGTAGTCCCCTTGCAATCCCACAGATAATTTGAAAACGCTTGGCCCAATCTAATACTTTGCATCTTCTTTGATCTGTCAAGTACTTCATTCATGTTAATTCTATATCTATTTGATCTTTTGAAGCAGCAAAAGAAAACTATTTCACCAGCCGAAAGCAGAAAATATAAAATTGAAAGGTTTCTGACCAAAAATAAATGAGTCAAGACTTCTGTTAGGCATGTATTCATAAACCAGCATTTTCTCGTCTCCATGAATGCAGCACCCAAGAAGCCTTACAAGATTCCGATGCTGAAGTTTGGCAATCAACTTTACTTCAGTTTTAAACTCGTTCAATCCTTGTCCGGAACTCTTTGAAAGTCTTTTCACAGCAATTTCTTGTCCATTTGCAAGTGTCCCCTGGAGAATAAGAACATTTTGATGAGCTTTCAATAAAGATGTATTCTCTGTACTTGAGATCACTTTAGTATTATGCTGTCAACTTTACCTTATAAACAGGTCCAAAACCTCCTTCGCCTAGCTTGTTTTTAAAAGAAAAACTATCAGTAGCTCTGGCTATCATACCTAGCGCGAATACAGCAAGGTCCATATCTTCACTCCGGCCTTGGTTCTTTTGATCATTTTCCTTCCTTTCGTCAACTTCATCTGAAAGAGGAGTCAAAATAGGCTAGCATTCAACATAGAAATAGCTTGCTTTCTTATGCATATTGATAGATTTAGATCAAAGAAAAAGGCTGTATGCTTCTTCTGCACACCAAAACCAAAAATATCCAACCAGTTGTTCATGGACACTTTTTTTTGTCAGATCATAAAACGAAATTGAAAGCCATCTATTATCAAATTTGATAAGGAATATAAGTGAAATGGCAAATTTCAGTATTACTGTTTTTTGAAAACAGGGTAGGTATTTGTATCAAATACCAACTTTCCCCTGCTTTATGAGGACCATAGTCGATGTTACCTTCTAATTTTCTCCTTCTTCTCCGGATGTAATAAATGACTACAAGAATCCCCAAGAACAAAGCAATTGGTGTTGCAATTATGACGGCCAGCTTCGCCTTACGCATGTTTTTCAGTTCTGCATGATCAATATTGATGAAGGAGCACAAATATAATTAAATAAAGCCAAAAGACATTATCACAAGCTGTAACAAGAATACGTTCCGATTTTAAACTGATACCTGCTTCTGAAGCAGAGACTCTGATGTAAAGATCCTGGCCAAATGATTGAAATTGTTTAATATCAATTAGATCATCAAACCACATGGCGCAACCGCTACCTCGTCCTCTAATATCTAAATTAGTGTATGCCATACAAGAACAGTTCTGCAAGCACCTAGCCCTACATTCCTTGAGATTCATGGTTTTGTTCACCCAAGAATGTGAGGTATCTGGCGTTTTCACCTTCTCAATTCTAAGAAATCCATCTCCGCTGTGGCAGTTTAGGGGCTTATTGTGTACACACCCATCAGACCAGTCTGAGGAGTTCCATTTTTCCAGCGATTTAGGCCTGAATGCTTTCAAACATTGGCAACCTGGATGCATGGAACTGTCGCAGTTCCCATTTGCACCACAAAGTCCAAATCTGTCACAATAGTCACTTGGCAAGAAGGAAAACAACTTCCAAGTTTGAGTTTCTGGGTTCCATGTGTATCGCTGTCTTACGTTTTCAGTTTGGTTCAAAACAAACCTTGACATTACCGATTTATTTTTCAGGTAATATATGTAGTACACCTCCTCCTCATTCCAGACAAAGTTGTAATCAAAGACCGGATTTGATCTGAAATTTGGTGTACCACTAAACCCATCGCCATTCCATAGGCCTCTGCGATAGTACTTTTCTGAGCCTTTCCGCAGCACCATCTCTGGACTGCCTTGGAGTTCTACCCCAAAAGTAAGGTCCCCAGGAGATGGATCATCTGAGTTCTTCCATGCTGCTAATCTTCGATTTAAACCAGTTCTCAGGTCCCAACCAATCTTCATCCCTGGTAACATTGTATCAGTTGGATGATCAAAGCTTTGCCACAAGTAGTTCTCTGAATCACCATCGTTTCCATCTCTGACAACAAGATTGCCTGAATCCAGGAGCTGCAGAATCGGATTCTGAGCTGCTTCTGTGGAATCAATTGACCAAACAGTTGTTTGGTTCTGACCTAGAAGCACGACTCTGCCAGTGCTTTCTATCTTCAGCAAGCCAGTGGTGTCATTTATCGGATTTATCCTGTTTGCAACCCATACAACAGTTTGCATGGGAATGTTATTGTACCAAATTCCCAAGTAACGATTCTTAGAACTCCCCGGAGTGAAGAAACCCAATACAAAGCTTCCATCACTAGAGACCAAGGTCGTGCCATCAGTAAGTGACTCAGACGGAGAAATCTTGTAGAGTGCGGTGGAAGCTTTGGAGAAGATGATGAGGAAACAAGCACTGAAAGAAAGGATATCCATGTCCATGGATGTATAGTCTGAAAGCTATTTGCTTTGAAGATAAGAATAGATGCCATTTGATTGAACATTCTAAACAGCATTGGCCTTCAGGCTTCAAGGCAAGACTCTGGGTCCATTGACGTTGGAATTCTTCATCAATCGTGACAGAGACTACAGTTATTCTATGGGCCTCGACTTCTTCTTGGAGATGGAATTATCTTTAACTAACATGATGGCTGTCAAGTTAAGATCATTGAGAAATAGGAACTGAAATAAGTGGCAGTTAAGTAATTTAAAGTTTAAAAAACCATGAAACAGAATATTCTTGTCTGCCCTAGCTTAATGTGGAGCTCCCAACTGTTTCAGTAACCCCAAGATGTTAAAATTCTTTGTTACCCAAAACTATCAGGGATCTTTACACTTGATTTTATCATATAAGTAGACCTGTCAAAATGGGCCGAGCTCATAAAGTTGACTTATTTTTTATTAAATATGAGGTGAGTTGGGTTGAAAATTTTTGGTCCATATTTGAACTGGGTCTAAATGGGCCAGCCCATCAAATCAGTGGGCTGATGTGGGTTGGGGCAAGCCAGCCCATGGGCCAAACAATAATTTTAATTAATTTAATAATTTTATATATTTAATTATGAAAAATCAATAATTTAGTTACCAATAGTATTGTTTATTTTATATATTTCAATGTCTTTAATCTTCTCTTGTCAAATTAAAAATTTTAATTTAAATTAAAACTTATTATCTCTTTTTTTTTCATGGTAATGAATATTAGATGATAAATTGATAATAATTCAGACCTTGAGACATCATTGCTGTCTAAATAAGATTTAAATGTTTTACTTGAAAATGAAGATTGAGGAGGATATAAATGAGTCTTGAAATTTTTATTATTTGGTTATATACTTATGTTTATAAGATAGTAGTTTGTGTTAAAAATTTAAACTTTATTATGTATATATTTATTTTTTTATATTGGTGTAATTTATTTATTTGTAACATGTTTTTATTATTCAATTTATGAATTAAATCATAGAACAATTTATTAATAAAAATTTATCAAGTAAAATTATAAAAATTAATTTTTTTTTGAAAAAATAAAAATGGGTTGGCCCAACCCAACCCATAGGCTAACAAGGGGTGGGCTAAATATTGAAAATTTGAAATTTTATTTATATTTGATGTAATGTATTTGCTTATTTATTTTTGATGTAATTTATTTGTTTGTAATATATTTTTATTATTTAATTTATGGACTAAATCATAGTATAGTTGTATACTTGTATTGATGAGTAATAGAAATAATTTTTTTTGAAAAAAATGGGCTAGCGCGGCCTGGCCCATGAACTAACAAGGGGTGAGCTGAGTTGAACATTTTGTAGCTCATATAAAATATGGGCTGGCCCGACCCTGTCCATATTTTTTCAACCCACAAGGGTTAGGGTCGGGTTGGGCCAAACCGACCCATATTGACAGGTCTACGTAAGCTCTAAAATAATTCCTTGTACACTACCAGACCGTAAGACTATGACTTAAGCCAAGACCACTCAAGGTGCAAGTAATTAAGTTAACATGCATCTCTAGACTTAGAAAAAACATTCGTCATGGAGATTTTTTCTTCTCAATAATTATTATGAAGTCGACATGATTACCAAAAAGTCAAGTCTTTCCTATACTTTTAGGCTGAATTTACAAGAAATTGCAATCACAAGTACTAAGGGTCCAATAGAATTAACTCCGCGTCAATTTCTCCTATTTTCATGTTAATCAGTTTATTTTTAATAATATGAATCATGTTTTTTGATATTTTATTAAAAAAGTGATTGCTAATACTATGATTATTGAGAATGTTGTTGATGAGAAGAATTTTGCAGCATTGATATAATATAGAAAAGTGATAATTGCAGAGAATATTATCGATGAGAAGAATTTTAGAGTGTTTTGTATAATATAGAAAAATGATAATTGCAGGAAATATGATGGGTGAAAAAAACTTTGTAACGTTTTATATATTATAGAAAAATGATGATTGTATGTAATATGATTATTGAGAAGATTAAATAGTTGTATTTGGTTTAGAAGTATGAGAATGTAACGCAAATTTACAAAATTACCTTTATATTTTCAAACTTATCTTTCTTTTTTAATGTAAATTTTTAATTTTACCCTTAAAATAATAAATAATAGCATGACAAAAATAACATAATATTTAAATACTAAATATTTATATATTAAAACATGTGAAATTAATAAATATTATTTTTAGTAAATTCGTTAAGTTTTAAAGAATTAAATTAATTAATTTAAATTATTTTATAAATAAATTAGTTGGTTAATTAATTTAATTAACTAATTAATTAGTTAATTCATTAATGTAACTAATTTAAAATAGTTAATCAATTAATATTAATCACATATTTATATAATTAATTATTATTTCTAGTTAATAGATATGATCTTTTTTAAAAAAATTTATATATGATTTATCAATTATACATTTAATTATTTTTTATTTTATTTAACAAATAAAATCAATTTTTTGGCACATAAAACTCCATTTTCCTTTCGTTTTCTTCTTTAAAACAATACTATTCATATATATATATATATATATTATTTAACTATATATAATTACGAAGTCATGCCAGCAAACCTAAAGAGAACTTTCAAAAGCCAACAAAAATACATGGTGAATGACATAAATACTTATTCTTAAGCCAACATTATTGTTTTGACAAAATCAAGCTGAATGTAGCATCAAGCAGGCGGAACTATCGGTTATTTAATTATGTTATTTTCTCCAATAGGTCCACTCACGTGCCAATGACTACTCCTACTATTACTTTAATAAATAAAAAGATAATCACTTTTTTTTTAAAAAAATGTTGACATTATTTTCAACTAGGACTATGATGATAATAATAATATTTTTATGAGTTTCATAATGTTCAAAAGCAATAGACAAGTTGTATCATTAAAACTTTTGATTTAATGATGAATAAAAAATATTTTATGGTAAATATTATATTATTGTAAGTTTGTATATACTTATGAGTCAAAAACTTAATAAACAGTTGACAAATAATAAAAATATATTTAAAAAATTAAGAATAATAAAATAATAATAAATTTAAGTAAGTTTATATAAAGATGTCAATAGGTATCTTGTTACAAAGTACTCATGAATAACCGATCCGGTTATATAAAATTAAGGTACCTTAAAATTAGATTCGAATAATAATTTTACTATCTGTATTGAGTTTGGGTACCACCCCTTAGGTACATGATACTCGAATTCGATTATATACTTTTTTAATTTTATGTAATTAAAAATAAATCCATATTATTAGTTAAATTAATTAATAAAACTATAATTATTAATTAACTTGTAATATCTTTTAATATATATTTTATATATTACATTAATTTATAAAAAATACAATTAATATTATATATATACTTTTAGTATATATACTTTACATATAAACATATTTACTTTCTATTTTGTATTAACGTTATAGAAATTATAACGTATAAAATTATTGTTTATAATATATACTTTTGTGTATATAAACTTATAAAATATAAACCTAAAAAGAAAGTGTAAGATTAGAATAATTTTGGAATATAGTTATTTTTTTAATTTTATGGACAAACTCATATAGTTAATTAAACTTGTAATGTTTAAGTTGTAGTTTGATATATTTGTTTTAAATTATTTAAGTTGATATTTGAGATATTTACTTTTAATTATTTAAATTTAAATTTTATTATTTATGTATTTTTATAAATTTAATTATTAGTAAATTATATGAAATATGGATAGAAATATTATTATATATAGATATAGATATAGATTCGAATTCGGGTAATTGGATATTTATAAAGAGTATTTTAATAATATTTTTATATAATTGAGTTTTTAAACGAGTTCGGATAATTATTGGATAGTAAGTACGTATTAAGATTCGAATTAGGATAATAAATTTAAAAAATATTTAAATAATTATCAAATTCACGTATTTTATTTTTTAATCAAATTTAGATTCGAATATCTCAAAATTAACAGATATCGTAGCTATTAACATCTCTAAATTTATAAATTACAATATCATGTTATCAATCAAAACAAATATCTTATAACTAGTAAAAGATTGATATTTATATTCCTAAAATTCTCTTCATATCTCATTGAAGTGGATCCGTGAGAGACGTGCTCTTTATTTTGCCAATCTATTATCACTCTTGTGTTCGATATTGTTGCCAACGTGTTGGGCCCACGAAATCTTTGTCTGAAACCGGACAAAGCCAACCTCGTATCCGCTGTTAGTCACGTACAATCAGGACGCTCTCCCCTGTTCTTTTTGTTTTGCGGCGCTCTGACAGCCTCATCAACGTGTCTTCCAACGCCTGTCGAAGCCCCCATAAGCAAAGAGGTTGGACCACGACCAAACAAAGGTGAAGATGAAAACTCTATAGCCTTAAAACTGCAACATATCTTTGTTGAAGACCTCACCAGCTTCTTTCAACCCAGAATCTGTACCCTCTGTTAAAGATCTAATTGCTAGTTAGCTTGACTAATCTTGTATGTGAAGTTCATTCGTTTGCGCCCAAAAAGAGGTTACAGTCTCATGGTACTAAGTTCACTTCTGGAGTCAAGCAAAGGAACTGAGGAATCCCAGTCATGAATGATATTTTCTTGTTGCTGATGACAGAGGTTTGATTATGCACAGAATAATGTAGAGACAATGAAGTTAGTTTGTTGATTCATTTATCACACTAATTAATTAACACTCATATTGAGGTTCCCAAGCGGGCTAGATTAGGTGGCTCTTGATCTTACACAAATGCAGCTGAAAACAAGAAAAGTCAGCAACTTGTAAGTGATGAAATTGCATGAAATTTGCACATCTTAACCGCATGAAACTTCAGTTATATCAAATCGTATGAAGCTTTAGTTTGGTCCTTCAATCTATCTATCAATCGAATAAATACAACACTACTATTTGTTCTTGATTGCATGTTGATTTCTGAAACATTTCTCAGCATTTGCTCTAAAAGCACATGCCCCAAACATCGAGTGGGATTGGAATCATCACTGATAGTTTGGGGCATAATAGGTTTAATGAAGCATATCACCGTCTATCGAGCCTCTAAAAGTGATAAACTTATTTCGTTTCTCGAAGATGATCCATGGTTAACGGATGAAGTATCTGCTTCAAAAGGACTCTTTTGAAACAAAAAACCAGGTTGTTTAGGCAGAGGCAATTCATTCTCACTTCCCAACATCAGAACCACGAATGACATGCTTGGCCTCTCCTCAGGATGCTGTTGTACACATAACAGGCTAATGTGGATGCATCGTAACACCTGTGATGGACTGCCAGTCTCTGCTAAGAAATCATCGGCAAGATCCAAAGGCCTGCCTTCTTTCCATAATCTCCATGCCTGCAGCAAAATGAAATTCTTTTATCAATAATCAGTTCAAGATATGCAATAAAATATAATGACAATGCGGCTTACATGTTCAATAAGGTTGCCCCTTTGCTTTTGATGATAAAATCCTCTATTCTTTCTTCCACTTATCATCTCCAACAACAATATGCCAAAGCTAAACACATCTGATTTTACCGAAAACAGCCCATCAATAGCATATTCTGGTGCCATATAACCACTGCAGGACATTGTCAGATAAAAGTATGAATTTTCATGGGGTTTTATACATCAAATTTGCAGAAAAAGTAGACTTACTAAGTTCCAACCACTCTGTTGGTATTGGCTTCAGTCTGGTCTCCTCCAAAAGTTCTTGCCATGCCAAAATCTGAAATTTTTGGGTTCATCTCACTATCAAGCAAAACATTACTAGCTTTTAGATCTCTATGAATAATCCTCAATCTGGAATCTTGATGAAGGTAGAGTAGTCCCCTAGCAATCCCACAGATAATTTGGAAACGCTTGGGCCAATCTAATACTTTGCACCTTCTTTGATCTGTCAAGTACTTCATTCATGTTAATTCTGTATCTATTTGATCTTTTGAAGCAGCAAAAGAAAACTATTTCACAAGCCTAGTGCAGACTATATAAAATTGAAAGGTTTCGGACCAAAAATAAACGAGTCAAGACTTCTGTTAGGCATGTATTCATAAACCAGCATTTT